TCCGTCGCGCACGAATAATAACCGTTCAATCGCCTCGGTGCCGAGCGATTAACCCCCTTTTCAGGCGCAAAAAGCCTTTCATAAAGATCGCGTCACGCGCGTGTCCGCTGATGCCGCTGCAAGCTCTTCGATCGCAGCCGCTCATTTTCGGCCGATTTACTCCTTGACGTACTTCCGCGGCGTCCGGCAACGCTGAAAGTATCATTTCTCGCTTCTAATTTGCGATAGACAAAGATACAGTGAGAGAGGGATGAAGGGAACGGTGTCGAAGAAGAGACGTACATGCAATTTTTTTTTCATCTTGAACACTGGGAGCAATGGGTTTTTCTTGAATAAAACGGGATATCAATGTTTAATTACGTAATTTATTTGATGAATACAAGAGAAACGGGGCGCAAAGAGGAAAGGTCGATTACTTTGAAGACGATGAAAGTGATCATATGTAATCAGTTTGACATGTCCCACAGCAAATTATAAAAATGTCTGATTATGAGTGCAAGAGAAGAAACGTCATTGAAATTTTCAAGCGGATGACTCTTAAAAGCAATCGCACGCAGTGAATTTGGCAGTCGATTGTTTCGGCTTCACGAGTAAAGTAGCAGCACCGCGGTGAGTATCAAATACAATCACCTACGGCACTACTACTTAGCTCGCGACAACCCTCAAAAGCCAGCTCGGCGATGACTGAAGCAGCACTAATGCTCAGCCCACGCCCGCGTCCAGCTTTTTATACAAGCGCCAGACGAAAACAGATAAGATTTTTCGGCCATCCTCGCCTATCTTCTCCTTTGTCGACTGATGCCCGGCGCGAGCCGAGCGAGCGATGTAGTGTTCAGGGCGGTTCGGTGTTGCGAACGCAACAACGAGCCTGCGTATCTTCTGCCCGTTATTGCGGTCACAAACTGAAACGTCTGCGATGCTTGCGCGCCGCGTGCGCCTTGGAAGCTGCAACAGAAAGGGTGTGCGAAGGATTCGAACCGATTCCTTCCCGGATTATTCAACGAGCGGCTCTCTCTCGCCTTTTTTCTTCGCTTTATTCCCCCGGCAAATCACGATGTCCGAGCAATATCTCTAGGCGCGCGCTGCGATTAGATAATGCGACAATCTTTTCCACGCGAGGAGACGAGAGAATAGACCGAGAGAACAACGAATCCTCGTATCGAAGTTAATTAATCGGCAAGCAAAACGAACAAAGGCCAGCGAAGATTGCGGCGGATGAATGGGGCGTCGCATGCACGGCCCTCGGCAAATTGTCGAACAATGGGGAATTGATGGGAAACGAGGAAGGCCTGATTGTGGCGGCCGATGACGCGCTGCAGTTCTCGAAAGTCCGTGGAAAAGTCGGGCGCGCGCCCGCGGAAGTCCTCCTCTCGCGCGACGTACGCGTCGATTGACAAACGACGGTGCTCGCTCGGTAGCTCTTCGGTGAAAATCAGCGGATCGGGCTTCGTACCAGTACGCCCATACTCTCGGACCCGCGGCCCTTCGTACCCCTCGCTTCGCCTCATGCGGGTATCCATATAGTCGACTGTGTTCACCTATAGAAACTCATCACTCGTGCCTTTGCAGATGTCACACGCGCTGTATAGTTATTATTAATGCGTTGGAAATGCCCGCGTACCTAGCTTTTCAAAGCTTGGCAGCTGCAGGAGCGCTCGGTCAGTTTCATCTTGGCGCGCGTTTGGAAGATAACCTTGTAGGGTTTGTGAGCGTAGTTTTTATTTTCAAAATCTAGTTAATCATTGTCTGGTCGTAGTTTAAATAGCTGTCTTAACGTTCGTTAAATTCACTTAGAAGTCACCGTTCACTTCGCCTCTATTACAAAAAAAGTCTAGTGGCTATGGATTCAATGGAAAACCTATGATTCATGTATAATTTCTCGAAAATTTTCATTGGATGAATTTCATTTTCAAACATAAAATATGATCGATTGAAACATTGGTAGAAATGCATTCGGCTAAATCAGATAGTATAGATATTTGAAATGTAATTTTTTTACAATCAAATAATATACTTGAAATACAACCAACGTTGAACTTTTAAAGTTGAATAATTGCTGCATTGACTTGAACGTCGCAAGATAAAACACCTAAAAGATAAATACCTTAACAAATACAAGCTCAAGCAGAAAAAAAACTTGGATGAAAAAAGCAAGCCGCATCGCGTACATAGCCGCACATAACATTGGTGTCGGGGACCCACCATACATACGTAAATGTGGGTTGCCGAGTTCCGGTGGCCCTTCTAAGATCCGATTAATCCATGAAAGATGTATATACGGGTACAATTGCCTCTTCCGACTCCCACGCTCGCGCCCTTTTCACTTGGCTTTCTCTCTTTCAATCGCGCACCCTTTTCCTCTCGCGTGGCTGAGAACACACTTTGGATGATCTTGTCACCTCTTTCGTGTTACTGTAGTCATTGAAAGAAACGAGCGAGAAAACTGTGTAATTTTTTTTTTCTTTATTGTCGACTGGGAGCACTCGTCATCGAAAATTGGCAGACTGGAATGTTTTATAATAGCTGGATTGTGAAGTTGGAAACGCACGGTCGATTGAAATGTATGCGCACGCGTCAGGAATGGCGCGATAAAAAAATGCAAATATCAATTTTCGTCCCGCTGAATGACTAATCGGGGAAGCATAAAAGTAACAATTGAAAAAACATTATAATTGCCACCTTAGACGCGTGCGAGCAACGGCGCATTTTCTTCTTTTCTTTTCTTTTCGGGCAAATAAACGTTAGTAATAAATCGGTCAAGATGTTTCTGGAATGCCGAGTGATCTTGCATCCCGGCGTGCTTCAAGACAAAGAAAACACTGGAATACTATAACGTGTACGTACAATCCATTGGTTCACTTTGCCAAATTCAGCAACCTGGAGCGCTTCGAAACACACTCGATTGGAACGTAGCTGCGAAGCAAAAGAACTGGCGAGCACACGGGTCTGCTCGTCAAGCCAGGTAGCACTCCATCCATGTGGCACATAGTCTCCGCAGGCTTGCGACACGCTACTCGGTAATGGATGACGGAGATGAATTTTTCTTTCTTTCTTTTTTTTTTCAGCGCACCGCGGCGCGCACAGGTGTTTTTTTGTGGATCACGTGTGCCGCATGTGCGCTAAACACTCGATAGCGCGGCTATGTAGCGCGCGTTCATTCTCATTCTCTCTCTCTCTCTCTCTCTCTCTCTCTCTCTGTTTTATAGACTCGTCAGACAAAGCTCTTCGATGACTGGAAAATTCATGCGGGCGTTGTACGTCGGCTTTGTTGGAAAAGGCTTTTTTTTCTTGTTATTCGGGCTAGTTGCGGCAAGCTTAGCCGATCGAAGCAATAAATTTGCAGTTGTTTCGTATAATTTCAATTTCAGACGTTCCTCTTGCTCCGCATCTGTATACCATCGGAATCGTACTAGAAGTTCGGATACAATTACAGCTTGCAATAATTGTTCTGCGGGGTGCTGATTTCGAAACGAAAAAAAAGTATAACGATGACAGATATCGCGAAAACTGCCGACAGCTTCTCTGTCGAAATCAAGCTCAAAGAAAAGTCTCGCGCGGAAGGATGAGTCTGTTTTTCCTCGCAGCCTCGCACGGCGAATAATTGTATAATAATCCTGACAAACAACACGGCAGGCGTAAGCGTCGCCATTATCAGCATTTCTTCGAGCTCGCCTCTCTCTCTCTTTCTCTTTCTCTGGGCAGCAAATTGGGTAGAAAATGCGAGCGCACGCAGCACAGCCGGATACTCGGGCAATGAATCTCATCCACGTCGTCGTTCAAGAGGAAGTTCGAATTAGTCGCCTGCACCGTTGCTGCACTCTCGAGAGACTAGTTCCCGGATATGAAAAATCTCTCGCTGAACGATGGCTTTTTGCTTTTTTTCGATGCGCTCGCGTAGAGATCGCCTGGATTGACCACTTCGCGCGCGGTACGCCAAGTAGAATTTGAAAAATGGGAGCTACGGAATGTCGTTAAAGCGATCCCCGATAGCCTCGAGGTCGTGCATGGTGCAATTGTCAATTCTTAAATAGCTTCACTTAAGATAACAATTTCACGTCTTATTAAGATTATACATCACAGCCGAATGAGTAAGGTTCTCTAATTAACCTTATTAAGATACTTCCTTCGTTACTTTCTCTCTCGGCAGCTTGAGCTACACGGGATGATACAGTGTACACGCGCGGCTTAGGATTCAGCCGAATATGCTGTAAACACGTAATTTTTCAATTGCTCGAGCACGCGATAGATTTTTTCGCTCGTCTCGTCTCACTGACACACCGATGCCAACTGAAATTGAGGGGTCCGACGTGATGGTTTTTCAGCTGCTTATGTTACGCTATGCAAAAGACGAGCGCAGATGAAACGCGCGCGACTCTTTTTTTACTGGCACTCGTGTTTGCGCTCGTCGTAATCTAACAAAGCGAAAACTACAGCCGTCATCGTGGCCCGAAACCGTATTTTTCCTCGTCGATCGAGCTTTGAACCACAGCTGGTAGCACATACCTCTCGCGAGCGAGTACGATATGGGTAATTGGAGAGACACGCCAGATATCGATGACGACTCGAACTTGGCCTGTGCGCGATGCTGTCAAATAAATAAAAATAGAAGAAAATACGATGTGTCTCGGTTCGCGCGCTCACCATGCGACGTCACTTAAGCCTCATTAGGATCGTTTGACCCCACGGATATGGCGCCGTTTCGTGGTGAATATGGGCGGGCATACCTATACATGCGTGTTGATTACACGGTTTCGTTGGTAGAAATTTCACGACTCGGATATTTTCACGGTGTGTCAACCCTTTTTCGTCGTTTTAAAAGCGTAATGCTTGAGCATTTGTTGCCGCTTTCGCTTTGAAGAATAGCGATTCTTTGTCCAGCTATACTTTCAAAAGCGAGTGATGTTTTTCTTTAATTCAGTTAAGATTTCGGTTAACATTCTTCTAGCTTAACTTTCGTATGGTTAATTTCTGTACAACAATTATACACAATATCACTCGTATAAAAATCAATTTATTAGACGATCATTAAAACGTCTCACAATATAACATTGCACATATAATAATAACAGTATCAAAAGTAAAGCGCTTAAACATGAAAGCTACATTTATAATTAGACAGCGAGACAAACGCACTTCCTCTGTCTCTCTCTCGTCAAACTCGCGCTATTCTCAAATCTGGTACAATCTTGAGCTGTAATTGAATAATAAGCCATGCCGTCGCTGTTCGTCGTTCCATTCATCATTAATACATATTTACAATCGCAATTATAGCCGACGAGCGACACAACGATCGCATGGCATGTGCGCGGCGCGCAGTATAAGCGTCAATCGGGCCAATTCAACGATAAAACGCGCGGGCTGATGCTATATACGTGTGAACGTGGCGGGCGCGAGGCCGCTTACGATTCTTCCGATGAACTAATTTTCGTGCTCATAAAAGCTTTTGTGTGTGTGTATCTCTGTGTGTGTGTGTGTGCGTGTGTGTGGGTGTGGGTGTATGTGTACGTGTGATGCGTGCCTCTATCGCTCTCAATGGGACGTATCATTATCCAATTGAAAATTCAAAGCGTTAGATTGCAGCCGCTCTCTCTCGCGTCGCGTCGGCGTTAATTAATTTCTCTCGCAGATTATGTCCACCACGCTTGGCTCCATCAGCACTGGCTCCAGGCATCTATGTACTGCGCTACCCAGGATCTCATCCAACAAGAAGTGCACTAAGCTGAAAACATCATAACGAAATAGAAAATTGTTATTTATTTATCATTCTCGGAATGTTGATAATAAATAAGACATAGAAAGCTACTTTGAAATGGAAAATATTATTTTTCTGTAATGCAAGAAAGAACTTGACCATTTAACATTTAAACTGGTGGATTCGCGCTAATGCATAATAATCAAATGATCTTTCAAGTGCAAAACGAGGAAACAAATGGATAACTCACTTCTCATCACTGACGAATCGCCAAAGATAAAGTTGCAAATAATGGGTATCGACTTGTATTTGCTGCAGACCGTATTTGCTGAAGGTCCTCAACCTTACACACTCGAGGAAGGTCTGCGAAAAACGGCAATAAAGTAATAAAATTGTAGAAATGAAAATGATTCTGACAAAGCCGGCGCGACAATTGGATAATGACGATAAAGGCTCATTTTGTAAAAGCGTGTTCGCGAGTGGGAGCCACCTGCACGCTATTCTCGTTTCTTTATTACTTGCAGAATGACTTTCGCGAAATCGTCAATTTGAATCGAGAGCAACCGTGACGACCAACGATAGTTTTCAATCACGACTGAAGAATATCCTTTGAAGTTATATTTAGGCGTAGAATTTCTTTACCTTGAGACTGATTTTCACGATTCCCGTTAGAATGGATGCTTTGTTGAATTTCACCGATGAAAAGATTTCGATTCTTTCGGAAAATAATTTGTGGATGTTTGATACGAAGGATGAGTCCAAGTGATTTGGAGTATATGATGACCAGTTTGAGCGGTATTGATGTCTTGAAACACTGAAAGATAAAAAACATCGGTTTCATGAGTTACGAAAATGTTCAAATCTTTCTATACTTTAATACTTTAAATTTTCATGATTTTGGAATTATTCTTAATAATACCTATGAGTTTTTCGACTGCTGTCACTACTTCTGTCAACTTGTCCATCATTATCATCATAGAGAGCAGTGACCTGTGATTCGATAGCCGTGATATCCTCGACAACGCGTTTCATCACTGCTCTAACTGTTCTGGGCTCTATGGTATGCAGCCAATCACGCGTTTCGACTGATTTTCGGAGCATCTGAGAAACTGCAAGTCCTTGCAAACGTACAAAGTTATTCAACAGTTCTTGAGCTGTTTTCTGAAAATTTTCACAGATTTCGATTTCGGATGTGAGATCGCCTTTTGAAGAGGCATATTCTTCTATATTGAATAGGTCATCTGTCGATGTTAACTACGAAAAATAATAATACTCATTAATGTTTCTTCATGCTTTAACAGTTATATTTTTTTTGTTTGGGACTCACGAGATAATGAACATTGCTGTCTTTAAATTCAAGGCACATTTTGCTTAAAAGCAAGAGTAACGTTAATGGAAATTTCGGAGTATCCAATCCCGTGCAAAATCCGTTGGCAGTAGCCGTTAAATGATAGAGAAAGCCAATCACCAGACCTTCCCTAACTTCATCCACGCAAAAACGCTGAAGAAATTGTGGTTTTAAGCCAAATGACAATTCTGGCTGCAAAAATATCTACGAAAAAATATACGTGATTAGTCTTACTTCGAAATCAGTTCAGTTTATGTTTGATTATTTTTACATACAACCAAATCCTGCAATATTCCCTTGACTTTTTCGATAGTAGGCATTACAAGTAGAGCTTGTAGTTCGGGTAAACCGCCATCACTTTCGGAAGACACTTTGGAAGCTAAGGTTTGTCTGACTTTGGCTAGAGTTTCATTTAGATGCTGTTTTAAAGCTGCAAGATGATTGCGGCATTGTTTTCTACCTGCGCTTATGACTATTTCTGTTCCAGTTCTAAAAAAAATGAATAATCTTCATTAGGTAATATACAACTTTTTTGTGAAGTATAAATTTAAGACATTTACCTTGCAAAATCAGTGTCTTCACAGAGTGCATTCATAGCTTGCAATCTTTTATAAAATCTATCCAATGCTCTGACAAGTACTGCTGTGTCAGCTACATTTTCTACTCTCTTTCCAACAAGATCAAAGTACTTCTTCATGTTATTCATGATAAAAGTATTTAACCGAGAAACAGCTTTAGTATCAAAATCATCACTAAATTCATTAGGCTCTAATGGTGGGCGATCAACAAACATATCCTTGTAAGAGGCAACAATCAAACACAAGTCACTCAAGAAACCAGATAAGCTTGCATCCACAAATTCAATTATATCATTTTCACACATATCTCTCAAATTATCCAATTGTTCTGACAGCCGAGCATCTGCATGGGTCAGAAAATCAGCACACAATATATCAGCTGGCTCTTTTAATTGCAACAGCAGATCTACACTTTCTGCCAGAGACTGCATTGATGCATCTTTCTTTTCAAATTGTGCATGCAGTCTTGTTTTCAACTCCTCTACTATATCCTCACAGTCTTTTTGAATACCTTGGAAGGATGGCATGTTAGCGTATTGATTTAATACTTTTTTGGCATGTATGTAGTCTTGTACAGCCTATTTCAAAATAATAAAAAGACAAATGAAATTGTGATACAAAAACTCAAAATTATTTATAATTAATGCTATTGGCATACTTGACGATAGTTCTCTTCGTTTAATTTATCAGTCAACTTATTCGGTAGCTTGAATAAAAATTGCAGTTTTTCCAGTAACGTATGGATTGATGATAATCTTATAATTTGATGTTTGGTACTCTGCAGGGTTGATGATATTTGTTCAGACGATGAAGTGATACTATCCATATTTTTAGCCAATAAGTCCATTGATTCCTCCATCTGGTTAAAGTCATATTTCATCTACAAAAAGTAAACAGCAATTAGATGAATGTCATTGAAATGTAAATTATTTGAAATAAATGTTTTGAGTTCTGGAAAGTACCTTCCTAACAGTATCTGTAGCTGCTATGAATTTATTGTAATTTTCGTAAACGAGAGTTTGCATATCAGAATGTAAAGTTTGTGTATCACGCACAATTTCTGCTTCATGATCCATAACTTGTTTAAGATTACATTGCTAGAGTAAAAATAAACGAAGGTTACTATGAGATTATATGTGTCAATATCTATTAACGATCGTTTCGAGAAAGATTGATAAACATATAACATTGAAAAACCATACCTTGAATAGTTTTTGTAGGTACAATTCAGAATTGAAATTTGGCCCATTGAGGTCATACGGATTTCCTGAACTACTTGAACTTTCAGAAGTCATCATTGACGAAAAGCTGTAACTTCTATTTGCGATAAAAATTACAATAAAAATTGCTTATTATTGCACTCTTGCAGACGAAAGTCAGCTGTCTTACAGTGACACCTGTCATATCCATCAGATGGCGCCACTGATTGAGCTCCGAAATTGAAAAAAAAAACCCGTAAATGACAATCACGCGTTATCTGACGTTTTTCTCGTTTTTCTATTGAAGAAATATGAATAGTAAAATTTTTAGATAATCTTTCGGTGTAAAACTTTGATCTTATGAATGTCTCCCACTATTTTTAATAAAAATGCAATAGTTATTAGTATTTTGGTCACTGTATAACTATCACGTATTTTGACAATTGACGCCAAATTAAGATAGTGAAAAACCAGAATTAAATTTCTTTTCGTTATCAATGGCGTTAGTCAAGTAAGTCGAAATGTAACATATCGCGTACATTGGCTGTCTGATCAGATCACGATCTTTCTCAATCACTTTGTGAAAGCAAAAAGTTCCACTGTTGATCCCAGATAAATTGGAAAATTATGACAAAATTCGAAAAGGTAATATTTTATTTATTGTTAAATTCTTATTATATATTATGAATAAATTGAAATTCCTATTCGTAGAATGCCGACAATTTATCAAAGTGCATCGTAGAATATATTGCGAAGAAGTTTAAGTTTAGTAAAACAATTGTATCACCTAATGGCGATTGTGTAAATTTTATACTGTGCAAGATGTTCCAAAACAAGACAAATTTTCCTAGCAGAAGTTTTGTGAAAAATTCAAATATTTATTGCACATGAAACTTAACGTAATGCCAATAGAAGTCGACAGGAATAGTGTGTTGAAAAAGTCGGTCGAAAGACAATCGACGTATCGCTCACTAAGGTAATTACAGTCTCGTTGTCAAACGAACGATAATAACAGTGTCTTAGGAAAAATTTCGAAACGACGAGTAAATACGCCAGCAAGCATTGTATTATCGTCAGATAACGTTTTTCTATATAAACGATCGCACGAATCGGAGAATCCCACTGGCGCCGAGCGAAAACTTGGCGTATTGAAAATTTACCACGTTAAAGGAAAGTAGCTAAAATGAAACCGGATCTCGATTTAGATCGTCTTGCGTACGAAACATTAGTCGATAAAGCAAAAACGAAATCCATTTGGAAAGATGGTGTGTTTTTGCCGGAAGAATATAACAGAATAGCAGATGCCGTCGAAAATTTCGAAGTGCGCGATGATGATGTGTGGGTGTGCAGTTTCCAAAAGTCAGGTGGGTTTTTACAGATACGTAGTGCGAATCGTCGCTGGTTGTCATTTGAAATATCGAACGGAAAGTTTTACATTTGAGGATAAAGGGAAAGTTAAATTTCGTAGGCACCACCTGGACGCAAGAAATGGTTTGGGGCGTTACGCACGATGCAGATCTAGAAACCACCAAAACCTACCTCAACGAAAGATTTCCATTCCTCGAGTGAGTAGCTCATGTCAAACAGATGTCGGTTGATCATGCCACTCGAATAGTAACTCTTTGGTCGCGCAGATTCACAGGAATAATCATCACAGCGAGAGTGGCAATGCGGGAAAATCATCCAGACTTAGAGAGATGGATCTACGACAGTGTGAATTACTGCAAGGATCTACCTGCGCCAAGACATATCAAGTGTCATTTACCTTTCAACTTGCTACCGCGACAAATCAGGACCGGCGAGAAGAAGCCGAAAATCGTGTACGTAGCCAGGAATCCGAAGGACGTCTGCGTGTCGTTCTATCATCACTCGCTATTGTTGGAAGGATATTGCGGCAATTTTCAGCAGTTTTGCGAGCTTTTCTTGGGGGACAGACGTGAGTGTGACGAGATGTAAATCGCGCCTCGTCAATCGGCGATCAAATATTTTCAGTTTTTTTTTTGTCGGCATCGCGGGATCTTCATTCGCATTTTCATTGTGTCACAGTGAATTACGCACCTTATTGGAATCACGTATTGGGCTTCTGGGAGAAGAGTAAAGGCATGGACAACATAATGTTTATAAGATTCGAGGACATGAAAACGGTAGGTCGCCGTAAGACACTCGCCAAAAGACGTCTATCGGTCGATAATTTAACTTCTTTCGCAGAACCTTCCGGACGTGATAAGAAAAACCGCAGCGTTCTACGGCAAACAACTGAGCGACTCGCAAGTGAACAAGCTGGCGGAGCACTTGAGCTTCGCGAGCATGAAGAAGAATCCGTCGCTGAACAAGGAGAGAACCGTGGAGATCATCAGTGAAATGAAAGTCTTCGGGGAGCACAGGCCCAAAGGCGAATTCATTAGGAATGGCACGGTCGGTCAGTGGAAGGAGAAGATGAGCGACGAGACGATCGCAAGGTTCAACAAGTGGATAGCCGACAATTTAAAAAATCACTTGGATTACAAAGTCTAATTACAATTCGTTTGCTTTGCGACATTTACTTACGGCACGAGTGTACATCCAAGCACACGATAAACGAAAAACAAAAGCAAAAGAAAGTAAATAAATAAATAAATAAATAAACGAGCCACGTACGCGTGTAAAAGCTGTCGTTCTTAGCCATCATCGTGCTCGCACTCGTCGTAAGCTCGTCGCTTTGACGGCAGCATGTCGAGCATGATCTCCTCTCGAAGGCGTCGAGTGGACGTCCCGGTGAACGGACTGGGTCGCTCGACGACGCCCCAGCGCCGACTCGACAGCTCGAGGACGCAGTCGCGCCTCCGGCGTATTATCGCCAGATGAAGCGCGTTCAATCCGTGCCTGTCGACCGCGTTCGGATCGGCTTGGCGCGCCAGCAGACCGCTGAACACCTCGTAGCTCGCGAGGTAGACTGCGGAAGCGACATTTCGTTGCAGACGGAAGCGAGGTGATCGCAAAGTCGCAGTCACCGGAAATCATGAGGGGCGTGCGCCCGTCGCGGTCCGCCGCCTCAATGGACAGTCCGCAGTCGAGTAGCGCCGCAAGATTGCTCAGCCGCTCGCCGACCACGGCGTAGAACAGGCAGCTCCATCCGTTCCTAGGCCCGAGCCAATCGGGATGAGGAAGATGCGCCCTCCGCGATGGCCGCGGGCGCACTTACACGTCGGTCTTACTCACGTCGGCGCCTTTCTTAATCAGCACGCTCAGTATCTCCGGATTCTTCGCGCAGCGGGCGGCGTGCATCAGCGCCGTTCTGCCGCAGGCTTGCGTCAGCGTGGAGTTCAGATCGGTCGGCAGCTTGTCGATCAGAAAGCCGACGATCATCGGATCCGAGCGATCGATCGCCGTCGTCAGCGGTGTCGTCGAGTGCCACGTTGGATAGTGCAGGTCCATCGTCGGGCTTGAAAAGAAAGTACAACGATCTCCGAGGGGAAAGCGATTACCTCGTTTTTCGCCGAATCGCGCGTCACGTTACTTGTTATTCACGTGCTCGCGGATCCTCTTCATCGTCCCGAACTTGATCAGTTGGACGAGTCGCTCCTCGGCTGCCGGCATCCTCCAAGCCGTAATCGCGTGTGCACGAAGCCTCGTGCCCTACTGCGGCCCGTACATCAGAAAAGCTCCGAGCTTTGCGCTGCTCGCCGAAGAGCTTCCTATCGATTAAGCGCGTCGCTAAGGCTGGCGGCTGACGACGATGGGACGTCCAAGTCGCCAGGTCGTAGGTTACTGGGTTACACTTTGACGCGAGGCGCGTACGCTTTCATTGACAAATGCCGACTGGCAACATTAATTGCACCTGTTACTCTCTGTATCCGACGTTTTGTATAATTATTTTCGTCTGTTTTTCAAGCCCCGATTTCCGCAAGAACGTATCCAAAGGACAACGTACGTTTCATTTAGCCTTGAATAAACTTCTCGAGCGTAGAAACGGAATGCGAATTTCTCAATGAGTCTTCGTTAAAACCGAGGACTGATCGATCCCACGCGTGCCGCAAGCTTTAGCTTCGGTGCTATCCCGGCACGAGCGGGAATATTGCTCTTTGTCAAAAGGGCCGACAACGAAGAAAGACAGCGATAACTCGCACGAGCGAGATTGGGTCGGAGCGGTACCACCCCTGCACGCCTGCATCCATCTATCCTTACGCACTCCTACGTGATGCCCAAGAGTCTGAATTCCAAGGCCCTCTTGCGCACTTGCCTCATCCCCACCTCTGCCTCTTTGGCGAACCAGCCTGGAAGGCCACTTTCTCCAGCGAGACAAGCAGCGGCGGCAACAGTAGTCGGCTGACGGGATACCGTTCGGGGCCCGCGCGACCGCTTCGCGAGTTAACAAAACGCACGCCTCTCTTCGTTGACAAACGCCGAGGATAAACTGAAGGGCTGGCAGGGATGATAGGTCGAGCGAGGGGAGAATCGTCGCGGCTATGAAAAGGCCAATCTACTGCCACTGCTGCTACCAGCTGCTGCTGCTGCTGCTGCTGCTGCTCGGCCTTGCTTTGCTGGCTTCTTCTGGTGAGCATGACGTTCGAAACGAAAAAAACCCGTGCGTGTATGCGTGCGACTGGTTTCCGCGGGACGCTGACGCGCGAGCAATGAATCACGCTCGATTCTGCTTTTTTTTGGCTTTTTTTTTTCCTTACTTCTGGTGCCACGAGAAAGTCATCGATGTAACGGTCTACGCGAGAGACGGCCAAAGAGCCAAATAATTAACGGTCAAGCAATCGACTTTCTATTCATAAAACAGCGACGAGAACAATATTAAATGAACGTGGGTGGAAATCCATTCAGCGAAAAGAATGCCGGGTCTCTTGAAAAACTGTAATTTCATGATTTGCACTAGCGGAAGATGATGGTTCGTATATGGGCAAACACATCGCTAAGCTGAACACCAGGCACCATCAGGTCAGCGGCAGCGTGTACGCGGTCGACGAGTACACGTTGCTGCTCACCCAGTTCAGCTACGACGGTACCGGCGCCGACGCATTCTTCTACGCTGGCTCAACGAACGCTGGTCCGGGACCGACGGGATTTATTGTGCCCGACGAGTATGGAAAGTGAGTGTATGAGTTTTGCTTCTCTTTTTCTCATATTAACTTAATTTCTTCGAGAAACGATCGGTCATTGTAATTTAATTGTCTCGCGTGACGAAGAACCAACGTCCTCGGTCGCTATCACAACAAGGACTTCACTCTGACGCTGCCCGAAGGCAAGAAGATCACCGAGATCAAATGGTTCGCCGTTTACGATCTCAGCTCTCAGGTAGTTTTACCGAATCTCGTGTCTATTCAAGCCTCACACCAAATAACGACCGGTCGATCTCGTTACCAACAGAATCCCTTCGGCGACATCACCATACCAGACAATTTCGATCCACCAGCGCCACAAAAAATATCCCAGCTGACAAAGGCGTCGCGCAACGTGTCATCCGACTCAATAATCATCATCGATGCCAAGACCATCAGTATACCGAGGCTAACGTACGATGGTTCGGGCGAAGAAACTCATTTCTATGTGGGACAAGGCTCAAGACCATCGCCTAAGGGTACCAAACTTTCCGATGAATATGGATAGTAAGTTTCTCGTTCTTTTGTAGTTATGTATGTAGATTTATTGACGTTTGCTTGGCGTGTAGTTTGGATCCGCTACGTGCTTATAACGAAGAAAATGTGATTATTCAATTGCCCGGGGACATGACCGTTTCGAATATTGATTGGTTGAGCATCTACGATGTGAAGACCAAGTCGAATTTCGGTTCGGTTATTATTCCAAAAGGATTAAATGTGCCGCCGTCGCTGGTTAAAGTTAGTAAATTTGTTTCGTTTTTTTTTCTGGCAAAGGTTAAATGACTCGATAAAAGCTTAAATTTGGATTTAGGTAATCAAGCTGTTAAAGAATATGCCAAATTGTGTACAGCTTCACAAGCGATTTCAAGTCGGTTGGGAGATCTTCGGACCTCAGATAACCATACAACTCTCCGGCGAAATCGGTTTGTCAAATGAGAACTTCTATTCAGCGAAATTTTGTTGTTTTCTTGTAACATTGAATGTTTTCTCCTCAGCGAACAACGAGTACATGGCATTTGGATTTTCCGGCTCGGAAGAGAAGAGTCAAATGGAAGGGGCTGATGTGACGATTGCATACATGGACGACGCGAGAGGCTATGCCGCTGATTACAACATCACTGCTAAAGCGCCGGTACGGTATTTCTCATTGGGTTTTAGCTGTCCGCGGAATAATTAGCAAAGCCATCTTGTTGTTTTTTAGTGCTCCAAAGTGCTTGGCCAATACAAAGGGGTGTGCAAAGACGAGCTTGTCGGTGGGCAAGATAGCAACCAACTGTTCACCGCGACAAAACAAGACGGAATAACGATCATCACTTACAGGAGAAATCTGATATCTTGTAAGTTGCGCTCTCTTCCATCGAATTGGCCATCTTATTAATTCGAGTTTCTTCTTCGCAGCCGATCTCGGCGACAAAGAGCTACCAACCAACGGCTCGGTTTACGTGATCTGGGCGCTTGGTCATCTCGACGAGAACAGGGAGCCGAGTTTCCATGACTTTTACCCAAAGAGTAATTTAAAACTCGAATTAGGTAGATCCGAGCCTGAAAATACTTGCGTTGACTTCACCACTTCGAATACGAAACTAATCGAACCGTGGGAAAAGAATGAAATTTTTGACAGGAGTATTCGAACATTCAGAGCTACCATCGGACCATCCGGTGGTCAGAGAGGATATCAATCGATTACCGGTGCGTCTTCTTCACTTTCCTTCGTGCAACAAAAAGGAATGGAATCGAAATGTTGCTTTTTGCAGGGCAAACGTCCACGGGACTGGCTTGGTTTATCAATGGACAGCTGATACCAGAGCTGTACCTACGTCGAGGTTTGACCTACCATTTCCGCGTTTACGGTGGTAACAATCCACACAGTTCGAATCTCTATCATCCACTGATCATAACTGACGAGCCACACGGAGGTTACGACCGATTGAGTGACAATGCGCAGAGCAGAGTTCGCGTACTCGCTGGAGTGGAATTTACGAGAAGGGGACGACCGAGACCCACTGCTGGTATGCTCTGCTAAGCTTGAACCTCAGGTTTAAGTCTGACGCCACTTTGTTTTGTAGTGGGGCCCTTGTGTTTGAGTAAGCATAGCGATCGAGATCGTCGACTCGACGACGATTTCCCGACCTTCCGGCATTTCAATAGGACGTTGGTTCATACTTGCGAGCCAGGTGAGCTTTTGTTTTGATTGCGTTACTTTTCGCATCTACGTAGATAGATCCGCATTTTTTTTTGTAAATAGGTGACGCTGGAATCCTCAAAGTAATGCCAAACTCCTCATGGCCGGATATTGTCTACTACAATTCCTTTACTCACGCAAACATGGGTTGGAAAATTCACGTTGTAGACACTTACTTGAAGAATTTCGCCTCGGGTCCTTCCCACTGCTCACTTGTCTCGATGACACTATCAATTCTATTTGTTGTTGCTACGGCTATGTGAGCCAAGAATGCTGTTTTACTGCTCCTTTTTTATGCGTGTTTTACATGTTTTTTTTTATACTTGAGTAAAAATGATTTTCGATAAAGAAACTTTATCTAGTACACGATTTCTAATCATACAGAATAAGTAAGTTTAAAGAAAAACTATTTTAATAAGGTTTGCAAATAAAAGAGAGAAGCATGGCTGAGTTACAACATATGTCTCTTTATTTGTTTTTTTTGTAGTATGGATTTTAAAATATTTTTTAAGTTTAGCACATTATTAATTGAACGCTCTAGTGAAGCTAAATTACTTCAAAAATACACAAATATAATTTTCTAAATTCTAATCGCTTTATAAATCTTGAAAATTAATTTTTGCATATCTAAACAAAGCGCTATTGTAATATAAAAAAGATTTTAGCTCAATAAATAACAGAGACTTTTCCTACAAAAATAAATAGTTCAAACCTTTTATTGGAAACCTACGTGTTACAAAAAACAAAAAAAAGTGCTTTGATTGAATATTGACACGTATTATTTGTAAATTGAAGGTCGATTAGATATGCTATACGATATTCTTCTTTATTATTGTTTATATAATTGTATTAACGTAGTAACAGTTATTGCATTATCAACTAAAAACAATGTTAATAATTTCTCAAACGCTTTTAGAAATTACTTTTCATGGAAGTTTGCGCTCGAAGTATATGTACGTCGATGATAAGTAATTTCGTATGGTGTTATATGACATTTTTTACGTATTCTCTATTTTCTTTTTTTACTCTCACGTTCATTCGCACTCACATGAAACATGCTCTTAAGAAATGTTTTTTAACTAGTTATCACGTGCGTAGGTCCTCATGAAAAGGACTACGATTTTCTGCAGCCTTTCGATTACATTTACAGATACATAGATAAAATTTTCATTAGTTATTCGTTGCGCGACTGCGCTAGAGCCTTTTCATCTCTTTAACTTATGATGAAAAATATCTTTTATTTACAGTTGAGATTTTAAATTAATCCAAATTTTATCGTAAAATTGATTAAAGTGTTTATTAAAAATTAATTTAAAAGTAATGTTGAGACTTGACAACATTTTTTTTCTCGTAAAATTAGATGTATAAAGCAAGAATAAAATTCTCCAATAAATTATTATTGCTTCGTAATTCTCACGCGGTGACATTTTTACTATAACCTCCAAAATTCAAATAGAACAAGTTGACTTTCAAAATTTTGGATTCAATAATTAGTATAAATTATTAAACAATTAAAAACTCCATGAGAATTCATTAATTAATTTACAATCGTTTACAACACACAGAATAAAACTTCTGTAATAATGTAAAAATAAAACAATCTAAATTTACATTATCAATTCAACTAAGACAGTTATCAATAAACATAACAATAGCTTAACACTTTGTATTAATTTCAAAACGAATATCTGGAATACAATAATAAAATACGTAAATTGGCAATGTTGAAAAATACGATAAAAAATAAAAGAAAAAAGAAGAAATTCCACGCATCGGAATACAAAAAATTATACAACGAAGAATAAAGGAATTTGTGTTATTTACAGTATCTAAATTACACGCTTATCTTATTCCATATGAAATTTGAGAAAATGTTGTAGTGTTACAGGCAATTCCGTGCACTTTATACCATACTTGGAAATCGCTTGAGCCGCATGGCACTGAAGAGTTATGTACTTGACAAGATTAACATTGTTGAGGGAGTTTGAAGATATTAGGCGAGCTGGAATATCACCGGCTTTGTTTGGCACGTCCAAGTGAGCACCGTAATCCAATAATAACTTAATTAACTGTAATTTAAGAAATTTATGAGTCGACAGAAAAAACGACTTGACGTAATGGATTATTCGCCTAGAGATTTATTATTTAATAAACGTTATTGTACATACCGAATTCTGAAAATTATAAACATTGCTAGCTATATGAAGAGGCGTTGATCGAGATTCATTGCGTGCGTTTACGTGCGCACCGCATTCTAGAAGAAGCTTAACGACTTCCAAGTTAGGGAATATTTTCTGCAAAAAAGAGAAAAAAAGATACATGATAGAATGATACAACTTGAAATGAATGAATATGGTTTTTTACGAGAACAACGACTTACTTGAACATCATCGGCGTTGAAATAACTGGAGTTTATTGTGTTTAGGCACGAGACACAAAGATGCAATATCGTATCTTCGGTTGATGCTGATCTCGGGTTTTCTTTGACCAATCTATGCACCAACTGCTTCATTTCCAGTTTTTCTTCGTTCGTCTGTGCCGTCTCGATGAGCAAGTAAATTAGATGCGTTACGCACTTTAATATACAATCGTAGGTCTCTCCTTGTCTTTTATGTACTGGTCGGTACTGGAATATTTATAAAGGTATTTGTAAATTTACGGAAAAACGTTTAAAAAAACCAAAAGATAGCCTTTTGTTTCCGATCATCGCGTTGATTTAATGAATATAAAATTCTACAAAAAGAGGAATTATCATTTTTTTATTTAAATTAGCTTTGCAAATAGACATTGTTTCTATTTTTCTGCATAAACATGAAATTTTATACTTTGATATTTAAATCTAAATAGTTGTGTTCATTTTTAAAATAAAATTTAAAAAACTAACAAAATGTAATAATAGAGTGAAACAATCTGATTAATATACTTATTTAAAAAAAGTAGCGCGATAAAGAATATATAACGTTGAATAATTTATTACCTGGAGTAATCGCTTGGCCTCACTGAGAGGTTTAGTGATTAATTTGAATACCGTGACTACATCATGGAATCGAGGTTCTTGTTTTTCTCGAATGCGGTCTAGTTCAAGTGCTTTCTCATTCAGGTCGACCATAAGTCGGACTAGGGCTTGAGCGGTAAAGCAGGTATCAGAGTATAAAATCTAAAGTTAACAGAGAAAGTCACTGAATAAGACATATTTTATCAGAATTTTTCACGTTACAATCTGATTATAAAATTGCTGTGATAAATTTTCGCCTCTTTTGAAATATAAATAATTTAATCTTTACGTCTTTTTTTGAGAATGTATGTAACAAGTTGAAAAATAATTAAAAAGTTTTGAACTTACGGAATCTTTTTCAACACGAATCTCCAAAGCACGTGTCCACAAGTCTATACAATACTGATAACTGAAAATCAAAATAAAAACATAAGAATGACTTAATATTTATGATAATGCAAAATAGAAAAAACTTACCGTAAAGCATCGGCATATGAAGCGCCTCTGTACATAAGTCTAAATAGCGTATCCTTGTGATAGGCCCCGAGAATTCTTTCACAAATAAGTAAGCTCTGGATCCTAATGGTATCGAGATCGAGCATGATAGTATTCAGTTCGTCGACGGTACTAAACTCTACCATATTTCTAAAGCTTTCTCGTTTGGGGTAATTCGGCCTTTTAGGTAAAGGATTACCATCGATACCATTGATATTACGAATTGCCAATGCTGTTTGCCAATATTTAAAGGCCAATTGGGTGTCGCTGTGCTCATCAAAGAACGTCGAACCGATCAACTCGTGCGCATCAGCTAGTCGCTCTGGTGGATAGTTTATCTTCTCGACTGGAATAATCATTGACAATGACAATGAAAGTATTTGATCGCGTGAAAAAAATATGAGAGAACGGTCGAGTTTAATGAACGGTGTTTTTTTCATTTTAATCAAAGCAAAAAGTGATTAATCGATGAATTACATTCCGTGACTTAACAATTTCTGCGACATCGATAATGTTACTGGTATCTTTTTTTTCAATTTACCGAAAATCTGAGAATACATCGGTATCATAATTGTAGAATAATCAAGTTTTGACAATGAAATAATTATTTTGTGTAATTTATCATTCTTCGTAATTAATTATTCGTATCGATCACGTTAAGAAAAGAAGATAAACATCTTTTTTGAATGCGGATCGACTACGTTAAGCATTCTTAATTTTATACTTTAATTACATTCTAAATCAGTACTCAAAAGCTTATCATTGATAAAATGGATAATAGGTAATCATAAGATAAAATAATCTTTAACGATCCTTACTTAAGTAATCAAAAATTTGTGTAGCACCCTTGAGACACGCAGTTTGCAGCGCATCATCGTTATATCTCGACCTAAGATGTGGATTGGCATTGTATTCAAGCAACAATTTCATAGTTTCGAACCTATGTTCCTGTATAGCATAATGTAATGCAGTTTTGCTTTGTATGTCAGTAGCATTAACATTAGCCCCATGTTGAAGGAGATAAGTACAAAGCTCGACACTTTGTACGGAGTTGATGAGGCACGTGCCACCATTGAAGTTTGCTTGCAATATGTCTGCACCGTTCTCCACCAGACAACACACAATATCTGAAATGATAAACGATGGTGAAATCACAATCGAAGGACTGATAATTGATTCAGTAACGGGTGGTCGGAAGCAAACTTTGAATTTGACGCGCACGTTTCAACACTATCCGCACACTGCAACAAATAGCATTGACACACGCGTTTGTGAGCATTAACCCAGACCTGCCTTGGCACAAAAATCTTGGCTCAGTTTGCGACGCAGATACATCAATGTCGATTAAAGAAGCATACCAAAGAAGCATACTAAAGAAGCATCAAATGACTATATCAAAGCTGCTAAAACTTTGTCTCTTATAAATAATAATTTTTATTCAAACAACATGCCTATCGATTAAATACTAAGAACAGATAGATACCTAGATGCGTCATGAAACAGGCAGATCTGACAGGTGTGGAGCCAGAGTCGGATATAGCATTAACATCAGCACCATGAGAAATGAGACATTTTAATACAGGCAGCTTGCCAGATACAGCAGCACACCACAGAGGAGTAACACAGTGAATGGATCTGTCGTCAGGTACTTCATACAGGCCTCTCTGTTCGATGTCTGCATGGCAGACTTTTATGAGATACTCCACTATCTCCACGTGACCCCTCTTACACACAATAAATAACGGAGCACAGCCATCTCTGGTTCGAGAAACCAACTGTTTTAGATCTTCGGGCTTATGTTTCTCCAATTTACTTCTAAGGAAGTATGTTAGTCTAGCTCCTGGTGCAGCATGCTTGCACTCTTGCATAAGATCATCAAACAGCTCATCCATAGAATTTGATGTTGACTGTCGACTGTTGATCCACATTGTAGTCCAGCGCCAACAAGTCCTTCTTGCAACTGCTTCTCTCTGCGAATCACAAAAATTATAAATCAATGAAAAATACCTCTTACCAAAAATATAATAGAAAATATAATATAGTATATGTAGAAGTAAGAGTTGTTCTAGTTCTCTTTACAGGATGGTATTCATATCTATACATAGTATTGATTAGAATTGAGTTTAAGATAATAAAAGATTAGATAAACAAATTTTAACAAGAGATGTCAATGAGAATGTGTTGATCAGACAAGCCAGCATTGACTGTGACAGACATTAGCCACTCACAATAACATTACCAAATCAATCAAAAATACTTCCTAATGTTTGTTTGTCTATGCACACATTACAATACATACACTTGATTCTATACAAATCAAATGCCTTATCTATTCAGAACTGAAAAGATTTAAAAAAAAATGCGTCACTCACTCACAAATTAATCAACCAAGGCGTTAAAAGAAAATGAAAAAAATTCGTGTAAAACTCGTGCCGTTAACTCCGTTAATTCGAGATAGCTGATTAATCACTTCGATGCTTACTCAGTCGTCTGTCGTGTCTAACAGTATACCAAGTCGTAGAGCACAGCCCGGCCGACAATAAAGTGCGTAAAATTTCAAGTGCGAGCCGTCGTCGCCGAGCGACGTCGTCAATGAACTTCTCTGTATCTCTCTTACGCTCTGGTGTGCAGAGACCTATTAATAAACTATCGGACTTTTGTCGTCAGGGAATATAGAACTGTATACCTGCTCGCGCTGTATCGCGCGCGTCAAGTGATTCACGGCTGCAGCTACAGCTGCAGTAAGTATAACAACAAAGGGCTTCCGTGATATGTCTGCAGGCGAGTTCCGATTAAGGGATTCGACCGTGACGCCGAACAAAGGACTGGTTTTAAACGCATGCAACGCAACAAAGTATGACGCGCGTGAGAGCGAACGTTCTTTTGATGACGTCGCCAGATACAATAGTTACGCTTGAATAATAAAAAAACGGAAATCGCATGACAATTTATGTTGATAGCGTCGCACTCTGTGACTCATTGCGCGCGATGTCGGTGCACGCGATTTTCCTCTTGTTTTGGTTATCGCTCTTTAATTGTGGACCTATTTGTTCTTTTGCTGTCTTTTCAATCGATCGCTAAAGGTCATTGTTAAAAATACCCATTTGTTTGCATTTTATGATTGTCGAATACAAAAATAGAGAAACGAGAGCGGAAAGATGCGCGCGAGAGGAGAAAACTCTTCAGTAATTTTCCATAAAATAAACACGACGATATAGTTCCATACCCCTTGATAGTAAGCCATAGAGCATCGCGCAAAATAACTCTTCATGGTGACGGTTCCTGCTGTTTAACTCTGATTAGAGTAGCGATAACCTGGGAGATTCAGTAGGGAATGAATCAATAATGCCACCATGCATATGCACATGAAAGCCGAACAAACGAAAAGAAAAAATAAAAAAACGAGCAAGCAAGAGATGTAAATGTATTATCACGATAAGTGAATCATATCAATTAGTCTGGGCAACGAACTCGCGAGTGAGCCAGTGTGTGTGTATACCGTATGATGATGATGGTGAGTGGTAAGTAAACAAAGCACGCAAGATAGGCACAGAAAGGCGCTTGAGTCAAACCTTTAAAGATGATGCTGCTGTTGGTAATGGTGGTGATGGGCCATATGACGACGACGCCGACGACGACGGCGGCGACGACGACGACGACGACGACGACGACGACGGCGACGACGACGACGACGACGACGACGACGACGACGACGACGACGGCGGCGACGGCGACGGCGACGACGACGACGACGACGGCGGCGACGATGGACGAGCCACTGTTGCGTAGGTGTTGGAAAAGCGTCGAATATATACCACGATTGTTGAGCGGCACAACAGAACCGCGACGACTGATGACCGCGGTATTAAATCCGCACCACCACACTCCCCTGGCAAGCGCCGAGAAACTTCAACTTTACTAACACATATCACACGCAGACTAAATCGAAAGACTTGCTGCTGCTGCTGCTGCTGCAAGATCAGCTCAGCTGAGACTGGCAAGCTGCACCTGACGCGCATGCGCGCTTTGCACTTGGGGGGGTTTTTATTTGAAAAAATTGGAGTGCGCGCGTGTTTCGATATGCACGTCATGAGAACAGCATAATTGCGCGATGACTAGATCGATGCTAGATAAGAAACTTTGTGAATGAATATAGCTGTATGCTCGTGTGCTTACGCGTGTTTACAACTAGTTGTGAGGTTTTTTACGCGCGAGCGGCAAAGACGTTTTATCCACTACACGGTCGGGTAATTTGTTTTAGTTAGCTTCGGGACTGATTGCATTTTAATTGTGATTTTTAAGTCATTACGGCGGAGCGGAAAATTGAGCAATTCAGATGGTCACCTTAAAAAATTTCAAGGCCAATGACAATCTATTTCGATGAATTTTGAAAGCACAGCAATATACATTTGTTAAACGGATATAATATATTTGCTGATTCAACGAACATGAAATGTTACGATCTTAGCATTAATTCTATCAAGCTCTTCGCTTATTACTGTTTCAAACTGGTTTCTTTGCGGACAGTGTAATTGTTTTCCCAAGTTAAAAATAACTACAAATATAAACAATAACACATTTAATTAAATATGTATGTTAGTAAATTGACTCCTTTCGAAAGTTTCCTTGTGTAATCGAAGATGATGAAAAATTCATATATCTCCACTAGAGCCATTTATCGGCCTGTTCGCGTTGATTAATCACCGGAAATGGTTGTATCCGAAACGTTGGTTCTTAAACTAGAAACTCCCTCGGACAGCTTTGGATAAATGAACGACTGAAAACAAAAAAAAAACTCGCAAAAAAGAAAGTGGGGAGAAAACTACAGACCCTAAAACTGATATCACCGCGAGAAAAACAACAGTTATCTCATCGTCCGAACGATAGTCACGCAAAGGTAGAATCAAAGTAAATTGATTTATACGGCATATACCCGAAGTATGTACATCTCTCTCACCATCATGCTGGCTGCTGCTGGGTAATGACGATTCGCCGACGCGCGCGGGCGCGTCCTAAAAGTGCGCGCGGCTTGTATTTTTGGCAACTCGACGTGCACTCCTTGGCAATGCGATGCGCTCGTCGTCGTTGGCAGCAGTCGCGCGCTACGCCACTACTGCCCGACGCCGCCGCTCTACCACTTTCTCCGAGCTGCCGGAGAGCGTCTATAGGTGAAACTTCCTCCTCTCACGCAAAACGTAATTGCTCTCTCTCTCTCTATCGCCCGCGTCTGTTTACACTTTCTTTGGCCTCGCGAGAGACGGTCGGAGGCTGCTCTTGCCTGGAAATGACGGTCGCAGCGGCCAGGGAGGATACGTTTAATTCAAACGCGGAATAGTCGCTTGCACTTATGCGCTGCGTCCTGTGCAGACTGAAGAGATTTGCTTTTCCCATTTTTTTTACTTGCATCAATCGCCATCGTCTTCTTTTTTTATGAGCTCTAAAACATCAAATCTGTTGATTTCTTTTCCAAGTCTAATACGCAGGATCCAATACGCAGTATGAATTTTCAAACCATTCGATTGCTATACTTCGGAGGCGAGAATTCAATGACAGCATTCGCGTCAGGTGTTGTTGCACGTGGACTTCGATGGAAAAATTTATATGCACTGAAACTACGAGCTCGTCAGCGTGGCTACGGCGAGCAGGCACTTTCATGAACACCGACGTTGTAATAAAACAATCTTAACTTTATTCTTGTGGCGATTCTAGTAGAATAAATATAAAAAGGACTCACCCCGTCGGTAACTCGACTCGCAGTTCCGTTCCACGATCTTTCTGGCTCTGTCGCGACTACACGAAAGAAAGTGCACGCTGCCAAATTTCGTTTTTCCAAGAAAGGTCCCTTCCAAAGGGCAGTAGGCGTGGCTTTTACGGGGTCCGTTCGCATCGCTTTTCCGCACAAGAATTAACTTTCCCGGACACTTTTCAAAATAGAAGTCTCGTTTTATTTTGTTTCTTATTTCCCTATAATGACGGTCCGTAACAGTTCGAGGTAACTTTCGTTATCCGCCAAGAGAGTCTTTACGTTCCGCAAGAGCTCTAATAAAAGAATTCGTCGCTAAAGGCTACATGAACGTACAACAAATAATTACGTCGCTTATTCAACTGCACTAAATCGACGTTGCATAGTTTATTTGCACTGTACTATTTTCCACTCTCGAAGGCGACAAAAATATCGTTCAATGCAAATACGTTACATGACTTTAAAAATAGGTTGTGTCGAAAAAAAAAGGAGAGAAAGATCGATTTGCCGGAACGACTGGAAAGAGAGAGACAGACAGAAAGAGTGAGAGAAAGAGAGAGAGAGAGAGAGAGAGAGAGAGAGAGAGAGAGGCAAAGCGTTGTTGAATAACGGGATTTTCGCGCGTAACTTTATGAAAGCGTCATGCCCAGTGAAGAAGAACGCTCGCGTGTCTCGTCGTTTCTAATGAGTGAGAAACGAACGGCCTTTATTCGTTGCACAAACAGTTTGACATGCATAATTCCTGACAAATAAAACATATATCGGCGTCACATGGCGACAAATATATCTCCTTCCGTTGCAATCGTTGCCGCGCAATTGCGCCGACACCGGGAAAAGCCTTTAAGAGCTTGACGATGGCTTGGATAATACGGGAAGTATAATAAGTAGAATGAGACTGGTGTGGTAAGACGAGCTCGTAATAGTCGCACGGCACTCGTTACTTCGTTAACTTCAAGCTGTGTACGCTATATTTTACTCATCTTATTTTGAATTCCGATCGCGTGCCGTTATGGGGCTCAGTTATGACTGATATTTGTGATCGTCGTTGCGTAATTTTGCACAGGAAGAAAGTGCATTTCAATAGAAAACAAGTGACTGAACATGAACTTGTTTAATGCGTGAAGTATAGCTGTGCCGAAAAAGCTCGTTGGTTTTAAAAATTTGCAACTCAAGTTTTCGACTTTCAGGATAAAACTGTGAAGTTATTTTATGTGCTGGATGGAAGCCAAATATAATGTGGTACAAAAGTAAATGTGCCTCGCGGTGCGCGATCGTTGGCATCACTCAACAGGACGATTTTTCGAGAAAGTAACTTTTTCAAATTGAGTGCTTTCGGAGCTTGAATTTTGTAAGTCATTGCATAAAAATCACTTTTACGCAGACTGCTACCTTGAAAGAACATTTTTTTATTTCAAATACTTATATCGATTTTGGTTAGTTTATACTTTTTGCCTTACAAAAAGAAACGAAATTAAAAGATATTGCAATCGATTGTCGTTTATCACCAATTAATTGTCTTTGATAAAGTTCATTTTCTATTTCCCTTTGAACGTCTTTTCTTTGTTTAGCTTAAAATAGTGCTTCTCGTTACGAGGAAGTAAAGTTGAACTTTACGCACCGAGGTGCTCGAGCACAAGAGGGTGTGACGTTTAAGCCCGCGTAACGATCAATGTGTTTTTGCATATTATGCGCAAAGTACATTCGTACTGTGATATCTGAAAGACCAATAACGATGCGATTTTTTGTACGACGTATAGCCGGAGCTTGAGTCCATTGTAGCAAGGGCATAAGAGCGATGGTGAGCAGAGGCTGCGCGGTGTGTCTTTCTTCTGCGAAAAATCAATAAATAGATCGTCATTAAAGACAATTAATGAGATAAGATAATTGAGAAGAAAATCAGTCATATAAAATTACACGATAAAGTGAATCATTTTACAAATGAGGTTTCCGTTTCAAATTTTTCAGAAATCGTACTCTTGGATTCAAATGAATGTTTCAAGACTTCCTTATCAATTCTAAGAGAACCTTATTATACAACAACAAAAATTGATAAATTGACGAAAATCGGGATAGACAGCCATCTTGATAATATACATGTAAATTTTTTTAATTACTTTTGCTTGTAGTCACGTGCTTTACCAGTTGAAATTATACGGAGCACATGTGAAATAATGAAATTTATATCACGCACGACAAATTTTCTTAGAAATGCTACTCATCTTAGGATTTGTAAAAGTCGATAACTTGCTAACGTCAAAAAAGCGAAAAATCGATGTCAAGAATACGCAAGCAGCTCAAAAGTCCGCAGCAGAAGTTCAGTTGGGCGAACTTAATAAGCCATCGAGTGAAAAGCAGAAGGTTCACTCTCCTCTCGCGCGGGAGAGCGTTTGTACACACGCCGCGCGGCGTGGCAGAAATGCACCTCTCGGATGAAAGTTGCACCGCGGGCGCTTGCGATAAAGGAGGAAAAGAAAAAAGAAAAAAAAAGGAACAGCAGCGGGCGAACGGCGCACGTCGCCAGGTGAAATGCTACAGTCGAAGTGTCGGGCGCGCGCTCTCTCAGTCCAATTCCATTGAGGCGACGAGCTGCATCGTCGTCGTCGCGATCGTCCGTCGCTCGGGATATCCACTTTTCATCTGACCATGGCGATTACGTACTCGACCGTCGACGGCGAGCTCGGCAGGAAATTGGATAAAATGTTCGGCGTCAAATATGCATTTTTGAAAGTTAAGCCCGGCAATTGCTTGCTGCCACCGCAGTACGTTTTTGTCGGACCGAAGATACGAGATTTGGAGGTACGCGAGAACGACTTTTGGCTGGTTTCTTTTCCTAGGACTGGTAAGTAACGTTTCAAAGTCTTACTCACATGGATGTTTTCTAAACGTTTCCATTTACTTGAATGATGCTGCGCGCGAAATCGCTAGGATTAAAATAGCTTTAATTTCAACACTCTTGTAAGCTTAAATTGCAATGCAAAAATGTCAACAATTATAAGTACTCTCGATTATGCTCCAAAACTCAAACGAATCCACTTTACCAGGAAGTCACTGGGCACAAGAAATGGCCTGGATCATAGGCAACGATATGAACATTGAGAAAGCTCGAATGACCCACGTCGCCTTAAGGACTCCACTCCTTGAGTAAGCGCAATTTCTTTTTCGATAGTTTCAAGGATAATCGTTTTTTCATCAAACGCTGCTTTTACAGATCGTCCGCATTGATGGTGAACGGCTCGTTCGTGGAATATTTCACGAAACTCGGCGAATCCGTGGACCAAGTGCATAATATGCCAAGTCCGCGCTACATAAAAACCCATTTGCCGCTCGATTTACTGCCAAAGCAGCTCAGCGAAAAGAAGCCAAAGGTACGTGTCGCTTATTTCCGATTACACTTTCACTTTTCCCGATCCTCATTCATTTGCGCTCGCGCGTTTTATAAGCACCGCTGCAAAACTCGTTTGTGCCTGCATTAATGCTCCTATCTCTCCCCGACCCGTTCTTTTTTTTTTTATTTTACGATTACCGAACTTTCAGCCGCATATCATTTCCTTTCAGATGATCTACATCGCGAGAAATCCAAAGGACGTGTGCGTCAGCTTTTATCACTACTGCCGACTATTTCACGACTTGACTTGCTCGTTCGACGAGTTTGCCGAATTGATGCTCACCGATAATGGTAATTATTTATATAGCTGCAAACGCGACTCATCTAAACCAAAGCAAACGGATTTACGGTCTATTCCGTTTCTTTTAGCACCCCCGATGCCGTTCTGGAGTCATGTCTTACCGTTCTGGGAACGTCGTCATCAGGATAATATTCTGTTTTTAACTTACGAAGAGATGAAAAAGGTATATTGTGTTGTTTTTACGAGCCAACGGATTTATATTTCCTAGTCCAACGTTTAATTGAGCATTAAGTAACTGTAACTGATGTAACTCGATTTGACAAAAAAACGTTTTTTTTTTACGCTAGTGATCTTGCGAATTGCGTCTATACTGCTGCAATCACTGAGAAATGAATATAAATTGTTGGAAAAATTACCATTCATTGCTTTTCTTTGTTTGTTCAGGACCAAGCTGCAGCTATTCGAAAAACCGCGAAATTCCTAAAGAACAAAATAACGGACGAGCAAGTAATACAGCTGTGCGATCATTTGTCATTCCGTAGCATGTCAACGAACCCATCAGTGAATTACGAGCATTTGTTGGCTCAAAAGAATACCTGTCCAAATGATCCTAACACCAAATTCATACGCAAAGGCAAAGTCGGCGATTGGCGTCACTACATGTCGGACAGTTTGTCATGTCGATTCGACGAGTGGATAGAGAGAAATTCGAAGGGTACCGGCCTTAAATTTGTCATGGATGACTTCGAAGATTAATTATTTAATTATTGCTTTTCTTAATTTATTTTACTATAATTCTTTTGACATTGTCATATTATCTTTGGAGGCTGCCCATTGTAGCAATTTTACTCCAAATTAATTGTTTATTCGCATATCACGTCGAAAATGAAACAATCAAAATAATTACTAAAAAATATTGTTGGCTTTGCCTATCTATCGTTTATATATCTATCTACTTATTTGTTCCCTGTTATTTTATTTATAAGTTATAACGCTTTAATTTTGTACTTCGCATTTTTATATGTTATTTTAATGGGATGCCATCGATACACTTATTGTTCCAATATGTATATTCATGAATATTGAATCGTATACACATTTAACAATGTATATATTATATAAATGAATAAACTACAAAAATAATATCGTTTTGTATGAAATAATTCACAATACAACATTATTTTATTGCTACATTTGACATTGTAACGAATTTCTTGAGCAACGATTTTTTTCCTCGACAAATTCATAAAAAGAAGATCTAGTTTTATTTGCAAAATATACAGCAATAAGATTTGCATATGTTCTACTCATCAGTGTAGCGTGATTTTTCCTTGACCGATATGCAGAACATTTATCATTGTATAGATTTAAAATGCACCTATGGAGTGGTATCACTTAATTTTTCCATATGTATTAATTTGAATGGAGAGCATATTTCAGCGCACTTTTCAAGTAAGTTCTTTTACTCAATTAATCTGTTGAAGGATCCGCAACAATAGTAATAATCGAAATTGTTTGCATTAAATCTTACTTCGTGTAGTCAGTATACCAAATAGAAATATTTCCGATCGGTTTGACAGTCTCAAAACGATGCTCATTGTACATGATGTTCACTATATCTATTGTGTAATAATACGATCACGAAAATACATCTATTAGTTAAATGGCTGAAAGATTCTGCTTTCCCTGACTCGCCTAGATAACCATTTTTGTCACTGTGAAATTTTGGATCTCGCCTCCATAAACATAAGTTAATCAGATTTTGAGAACACAATGGGTGTCTATGAAATGGACACGATAGAAATGGATATATACTAATTAAAGAATGCTATACTTGTAGTTCGTGACAATTTGAGCAATTCTCTATATCAAGCATTTGTTGCTTGGTCATTATATCTAGATAATGAGTACCGTGTCTTGCTGTCATCTACATTTCTAAAAGCCTATACAATCTACATAAAATAATGTGCTTTTAAGCGTGCGACAGAATAATTGATCCAAAATATAATTATCGCACACGGATCATTCTAAAACACATTCCGCTTGAATTAAAATTCTCCTGTGGCATCGAGATATCATTGATTGCATTGCACTAATGACACACATTTTTCCGCCACATGATGTAGTGAGCTGCTTATAGGATATGTTAATATCTCAATTGTGGATAAATAATGTCATGTAAAACATTGAAACAATGACAAACTTTTTGACACTGGAAAATTTACCCATTTTGTGGAGTATCGTAAAACATCTTGCGTTTATGGTTGAAACTATTGAAGCAAAGAATTATATTGTTTGATTTGAAAAAAAACCAATGATAATGAACAATGTTAAGAAATTTTATGAATGAACTTGCTTTCAACGCGGCTGTTGCTGCCGTGAATGAATTTGTATGAAGTTTGGATGCCAAATATAGATATAAATCTTCGATAGATTTATAGCATATATTAGTGTTTACAAACTGCTTCAAGTAGACAAACGTGGATATTAGACAATAAAATGTATCTAGTAGATTGTTGTTGGCAGTAACAATCACATCATGAACTTGAACTGATATGCACTATGTTTCTTGTATACGACGAACTTTTTCGGCAAGAGAAACGAAACCAACTGAAAGGTAATTTGATATATCTGTTCTTTTATAATCTGATATGCTAACTTTTAACTTATTCAAAGCGATAGGCAAATTTATAAAAGAGGTCATTAACTGATAAAAAGATGTTATTATGTTAAATATTCCACCACAAGTGCGAGTAGTGTGGCGATATGTGTCGTATTTCAAAAAATTCGTCCATAATACACTTTTTGGGAATCAATTCTTTTGAATGAATCAATATACACGAATAAGAGTACAGGCGCATGTATAAACATCAAAAGTATTTTTGATACACCATGAAAAAGGAAGACGATATAAATGTGAATATTTCAGCAGCAATTGTTTTTACATATTTATCAGAAACTATAATGTATAAAGATTTAATCTTGCAAGTAATAAAACACAGATAGAAAATTATAATTAGCAATGAATTTACAAGTACTTAAAAAATAATATGTACATGCTAAATTCCTGGCCGAGTATTCTACAATTTCATTGAATTATTCAAATATATAAGTGTAAAAACTAAATGTAATAAAGATGATAGGTAGGGGATTGCCAATATGTCTATTAATAAAAGTATCCGATGCACTTGTCGTTGTATCATTTTGCATGACATCGCAGAAGTTCGCATCACATTGATCAAGCATCGGCTGAAATTCTCGTTTCAAGTAATCCCAATCGCAGGAGGGCCCTTCGCAGCCTGGTATTTCTACTGGATTTTCAGCAATATGAAATTGCACTTGGTTCGGCATTGTTATGTTATCGCATCTGAAAATCCAACGGGATGAGTTATGGTAAGACTTGTTTTTCAATTGTCTAAATTACCTGTAGAAGACAGCTACGATATTGGAAGTAAATGCATTCATGAACGTTGTGTTGTAAAGTCTACTTTTCATTGACTCGTAATTAGATGCTAATAATGGTTGCTCGTGATCGAAGACTTTTAATAACGTCATCACCGATTGAATGTTTGACGAATGGCCAAAATTGAATGTACCTTTTGGCTGATTTTCGATATTTCTGTTTTCCAGCTGTCTGAAATTCCACGCGGTGATTCCTTAATTAATCTCGTTTCACAAATTAAGTTAAAGAAAACATAAATCACGCACTCAAAGGCTTTGAATAACTTTTTCAGAATGTTACAGTTCAGCTTTCTACTCAACGTATTTCCCGGTCCGCAACAGTAGTAATAGTCAAGATCACTGAGGTACTCGAACACCATTAAATTTTCTTTCGAGAAGACGGTACACCACTTGGAAATCTTTCCGGCGTCTAATGCAGTCTCAAAACGACACACGTCATACATGACGCTCACTATATCTGTTATGTGATAATAAGTCATTCCAATCTGCAGTTTCTTTTCTGTCAAGCGTATGTCTTACCAAAGCCAACTTTTTCGGTGAAACCTAGTCTTTGGCTGACTTCATTTAAAGTTCGATGCATGACCGGTCCAGTCGCAAACCTTCTGTACTCCGTCATTTGTACTTCATGTTTATACTCCTTTTTCCACCTGTCGCAGTCTTGATCTTCCTACATGGAAATCAACTCGTCAAGTACATTTAAATATCAACGAGTATGTTCTTAAATTGTATGAGTTCTTACTTTCAACTTTTCTCCGTCAAAATTCACTGTGGCATTTGTATCGAGCAGTGCGTTAGCAAACGATAGCAAGCTCGAAGTCGCACTTGCGCGTTTTGATGCCGCGAACTGAAAGCAAATGTACATTGCGCTGCTACTACTTTCGATAGCCAGCCAGTAGTCACATTAATTATCTTACGTTATAGTCCGTTGGATCATTCGAATCTAGAATTTCAGGAAACGCGTCTTCTAATCGTTTAGCCAGTAGATGCAGCTCGTTTTTACCTGCTTCGCCCAAAGTCCCATTTTTTTCATAAAAGTTCGGATCGGGCTGCCATAGTCGCAGATCCGTCAGATCTTTAGGACACAATTGTCCCCCTGTAAAGTGGACGTCGTAAGAAATACACGCATCAAGAGCAAAAATAAGTTCGAGGACTAGTACAAAAATGCTTACTTCCATGTTGGTGGTTTGCGACAATTTGATCTCGGAAGCTCTCCAAGTCAAGCATGTGCTGCTTCGACAATTTATCTGGATAGCGAGTGCCATGCCTTGCCGTCATCCATATTTGCAGAGGGGTACAGCCTACTCAACAAAATTATGTTCTTTTAGGCATGGCAAAACTGTAATCATAGCGCGGAAGTCTCCGAAACGTATCACGCATTGGTGAAAATGGTCGGACGACGCTAAGAGATATCATTGATTGAATTGAACCAACAACAGTTCGCACCGGCGATTATGTTAAAACGCCGTATATCTGCAAATCATCTGGCATAGCGAAGTGCGGTTTTTATACGTGTTTCAATAATAATTGCAGTAAACAATGACACGAGAGGTACTGTGTTGTGGCACAACGATAAGCGATTCGACGCTGGAAAGTTTTCATTCTTTTTAATTTTGCCATTGCCTCCGTGATTTTGAATGCTAAAGTAGATAATAAGATTATCCAATGCTAAGAAGGCAAGAGCGAAAAAAGGCAGGACGAAAAATGAAATAACGGGAATTGTCAAACTTACCTGCGACGCGCTCGATTTCACCATGGACAAATTCATACGGAGTTCTCGATGCCAAATATGGATAAAAATCTCTAGTAGAGTTGTAGCAATCGTCGATATTTACAGACTTTCCTTCGATTGACCAGAGATAAACGAGTAGACAATATAATATACTTAGTATACACCAGTTCAAAATAACCATATTACGAAGTAGAACTGATGGGAGCTGCCGTTCCTTCAAATGTTCAAAGTGTATACTTGAGATTCGGGCTTAGATGTGACGTAATTGTTTTTTCTTTTTGGCAGAGAGACTTAACTAACTGGAAGGAGATTCAAATACATCTACTCTTTTATAAACTGCAGTCTCTATCTTTCGTAATTTACAAGAGCGATGTTATGTTTGCCTCTTTGTTCGTCAAGTGAAATCTCGGAGATAAGTTGATTTAAGTTTCTTTTCCTGCATGATTCGAGATTACATCATGGGATTCATTGCTGATGGCACTGAAAATTTAAAAGCTTATGTTTCATATCCAAACTGTTATATTTACGAATAATTTGTCTCAAACAAATATGAAGAGGATTTATCTCGTGACGCAAAAGGTGATTGAATAGAAGTTAATATTTATTGGTGAATCATTTCCAAATATTATTAGAAATTGTAATATCAAACAATATCATTTTAGTATGCATTTATGAATTCAAATAAGTGAATAAAAATAAATATTTCTAAGTCAAGTGTAACTATGTGATTTTCTGTAGCTATTGTACACTTGAAAATAGATTAAGTGGTAAGTAAATAGATTAGTGGAAAACTTATGGAGTACAATACGAATAGTATTATCTAATCTCTGGACTATGACTGGGTTTCCTAATTTTTTCGATATCTTGTATCCACATCCGCCAAGATTACAAATGAACGGACTATTAACCTATTCAATTATTCTATAACCATTCTACACGTTCGCCGGACTACGTTAGAAAAGTTTGTAAAATAAACAAATCTCGTTGATAAGATTTTGCAAGGCTTTTTTCATAGCACATTGTAAATATCTTCATTTTAGAACTCTGCAATGCTGCTTCGCATGGAAATATTTTTGCTTTGACGGTATAATCTTATCTGGCAGAAATCAAAATGCAAATACAATAAGTGTGTTTCCGTGCGCAGTTAAATCGTTCGACAATTACAGAGCAGTGACCTACATAGTTTTTATAAAAATTCATTTTGTTAGTTCTACAAGGGACGATGAAATAAGTAAAAAAATTAATAGACATATTTATTAAACATATCTCGATCTTCATATTTGAAATAGACGCCATACTTGCCATCTCTATCTATCTAATAATACTAGTAGTAGGGCATTCTGTAAACTTAAGATTTGCCCGACTATTACCATACCATATCGCGATTAACCTTGTAAATATCTTAAAGCAATAAAACTTTGTAAAATTCATGGCACAATCCTCCCATGTAAGCTTCTAGGATTAATATAGGCATCAATGTATTTTTCAATTCAGGTGAATAATCCTAATGATGAAACGAATTTGATACTTTTATTCAGTTCTCTATTTCGAAAGTCATTGCTTTAACACCCCATCTTTTAACTGTATAGTTTCAGTGATTCATATTTAATGGAATAAAAGAATAAAATTCAACAAGTTAAATTGTATTCTTAAATTATATTTAATAGTATTCAGATACATTATTAATAAAAACATGTTTAGCTATCAAATAACTTAAACATCTATTATATTACAATAAAAGCACACTTATCTACAATTCTATGTACAGTGTTATTCGATTCGATGTGTGAGTATGAGAAAAATAAAACAGTTTAACTAGCTAACATAAACCATGTTGTTACTGAAGGTAACGAATACTGAAAGTATTAAACTGATAAAACCACTGTAACTCAAGATATGCGCTGCTTTTGACATGTCACAGAAGTTAGGATTACATTGCTCCAGAACTGGACCAAATTCTTTTTTTAAGAATTCCCAGTCACAAACATTACCGTTGCAACCTGGTACGTCTATTTCATTTTCAGAGTTGTGAAATGTGACTTTATATGGTGACTTCGATTCAGTGCATCTGAAACAGCGAACCGATTTAGAAAGAGTTTTGAATTAACTATTGATTTGTGCTGTCTTTGTAGCTTACTTGTAGAAAACTGCAATAACATTAGCGCAGAAGGGTCCCATTTTTGAAAGTCTGTAGGTTCTGTTTTGCATGGCGTAAAAATTGTCCGCCACTATCGCTGGTTCGCTCTCATAAACCCTCAATTGTGACATGATAGATTGTACATTTGTTGAGTGACCGAACGTGAATAAAGCTCTAGGAACTGGATTTCCATTTTCAATTCGCCTGTAAAAAAAGTTGCAACGTACGACGAACATTTTCAAGCAGCGACAACGTGACAGATGAATGAAGCTTATACTTACGCGAAGTTATCGAATAGTTTTTGGACAAGTCCGCAGTTGATTTTACTGCTCATTTTATTACCCGGTCCGCTAGAATAATAGTAATCTAAGTCACCGACGTATTCTAAGACTATCATATCCTGTTTAGTGAACATTTGGCACCAGGCATTTATATTGTCTACGTTTGGTACCTCTGGGGGATTCAAAGCTGTCTCGTAACGACAAACTTCAAACATTGTTTTTGCATCACCTATTCAATAAGATACAGAAATATTAAACGTTGTTAATACATATATTTTTATAATCTATCAAATTGCTAAAAATCATTCTTACGATATCTGATTGTTTCGGTGAAACCAAGTCGGTCACTAATATTACGCAACATTTCATGAGCTACGGGTCCGTTCGTGAATTTTTTTTGTTCGTAATATACTACTTTGGGATCCCAATGTGCTAACCACCTCGGGCACTTTTTAGCGTCCTAATTTCAATCATTAACAGTCGTGTCAATAAATCAATGGTTTTGATCGACGTTGATAAAAATTAAAATGTCATTCAATTACTTTGATATCTTCGTGTTTTACGTTGATCGTCGACTCGTTTACGTTAAGGAGCGAAGCGGCAAAAGCGACCAAACTTGAAGTTGCTCTTTCGTTGTTCGTAGTAATAAACTGAAGTTTCATTAAAAAGAAAACGGTAAGAAGTCAAGTCAACATTGTAGTAATTGATGGCGGAATTGTCAAAAATCATTTATGGCAATTACTTACGCTGTAATTGTTCTGATCATCAGAATTCAATATTTCCGGAAATCTTTCCTTCAGTCGCCTGGCTAGCAGATGAAGTTCTTTTTTTCCTTCGAAGGCTAAAGTACCATTTCTGTCTTCGTAAAAGTTTGGATCCCTACGCCACAATCGCAATCTTTGCAGATCTTGTTCACAGACCTGACCACCTACAACGAGGACGTTTTACTAAATCAAATAAAAAGCTCATGAATAAATGTGTAGATGTTAATCTCCAGAACTTACGTCCTTGTTCATGGTTCGTTAATATTTGTTCCCTAAAGTCTTCGAGTTCGAGCATTCGCGCTTTAGTCATGGTATCAGGATAACGAGTTCCGTGTCTCGCAGTCATCCACATTTGCAGTGGCTGACATCCTACAGAGACAATTGCATTTATGAAATTACCCAGATTAACAGCGATGAAAATATAAAAATAGATAAAAATGTGCATTCAAAGAAATTAATTTTAGTAACTTTCACCAAAGACGTCGGTAAAATTTTTCACGACAGATTTTTAAAATCAATCACGACAGATAGATACCTGGAAGACGCGTTGTTATGTCACCATGCACATAAATATATGGGGTTCGAGAGCCCATCATTGTATAAAAATCTTGGGCAGGATTGTAACAAACGCCATTACTGAAATTGGAAAATATGGCCTTAGTAACAGTAATCAAGGATAAAACAAAAAGCACTTTTGACGTTGTAGTCATGTTGCCGATAACAATGCTGTCTCACGAAAAGAGTTCCTAAAAATTTACGAACGATTCACTGTGAAACAATCCGAGACAACTGATTCTGAATGACAGATGCATTTTCTTTTATAATCTCACTGGCGTCTTTTCGCGTCAGCGTGCTATTTACTCGCTGGGTAAAATTCCGAAGATAAACTTTGGCTGCTTCTTGCGGCGCGCGAAATTACCGGGAAAAAATTGCGAATTCCTCCCTGCCCTCAAATTTTGGATACTTACATATTTACAATTGTTCTTTCTACGAACTATGAAATTCGTAAAACAAGGAATAGTTAATTTTTTGAGCGACAGTTGATAAATATGTATTAAATATTAAACAGTAAATTAATTTTGACTTTCTCTTAAGAGTAAATATTTTCTTTGCTTATCAATAAATAATAGCGGCTCGAGGAATGCAAATAAATTCTACCACTAAACAAGTTGATAATATGTCGAAAAGTTTAATCGAATAGCGGTTGCATTCTTTTCACCATAGTTATTAGATTTTGTAAATGATAGGCGTAGTTGTACCAATGATAATTATCATCTTGTCATAACACAAGAAGATCACTATCAAGCCTTTGGATGATTTTAAAAATCTTTTAAAAGTGAATAACTATTTAATTGTTAAATAATACGTTTTGAGTGTTTAGTTTTGATTTACAACAGGCCAAAAAACTGCATTAAAAAAGCTGATAACAAATAAAAAACGATTAAGCCATTGTTATCGCTTCATCCACCAACTATAACTCATTAATCTCTCACGTGTTATGTTTAAGATCCATCAACTTCCTACACTCGAAAAAATAAAATTCATCTCAAGGTCAATCATTTGTTTAGTAAATACAAATATTTAGCAAATGTAACGACACCTGTGCTTTGCGAGTTTTTCTTCAAGTAATGCGATAGTCAATTATTTCATAGCAAATCATGCTTCGCAGACAGTATTACGTACTACAGTTTGTTCCACGATTTTCAGCGCATGAAAAATCATTTGGAATTTATTTGACCTCAAAATTCGAGATCATGCTACTGACAATTTTATTGATTCCAATTTAATTCTTGTGTATTTTCGACGTTGCATTTTAGATGAGATAACAGCAAAAGAAAATTTTCCATGACTTTTTTACTATTATAACTTTGCGCAATGATTATTGTTTTCATTGTCCAGGTGATATCAATTGTAAATGAGTCATCGTATTATTGAATGTATAGTGAAGCATTACTTACGTTTATAAAAACTCTTGCTTACTTTTGATGTGCAATAAAGTAACTTGAGCTTTTTCGCGCCCGAGCGAAGCGAGGCTGAAGATGCCACACGAGGGTGAAATCACTTTCTTGTACAAGTATCGAAATTTACTATTATGTGTCAAATTTCCTTCCGAAGCAGCTAGTCCCACATTCAATGTCATAAAAAAGCATGCGTTTATTAATCCACCTGCATTACGCAATTGACTCATATAGAAACGATGAAAATATTTGTATAAGTATACAAATGTTTTTTTTTATAAACTACGTTGTTTTCAGAACCCTGAAATGTAAAGATGTGTGGAAAAGAGCGGAGGATTTTGATGAAAATAATGTGCATTCTTTCCTGTACACAAATGTTCCTTATCTTTTATGTACACACGTGAATTGATTGTTTTATTGTGCGATAAATCAGAAGTGGAAAAAACTTTATATATCGAGATGTATTTGTTGAGCGCGCAGATAAGACTTGCACTTGCCATCAAAAAACTGATTGGCACGATAAATTTCCTTTTGAAAATCTGCCCAGCAATTAAGAAGTGAATCTGTCTTTTGAAAACAGCACTTTTAAATAAAAATTATAAAAGACGTACGCCAAAAAGAAATAAAAACATTTAAATAGTACGTTTATCTGTATACACACCAATTAACGTGCATGAAAAATGGATAAATCCGATAAAAGTTAATACAATTATTCAATTAAAAGAGTTAATATCAGCAATAATGCGTACAACAATGATAAAATTACCGAAACTCGCGCGCATTAAAATTTAATTTTGGCGGGAATATACCAGCGGCGCCTACACGACCTCGACCGATCGTACAGCGCGCCTTATATCAGTCTCATTCTCATCGCATTCATTATCCCACACATATACTAACATCCAATCAAATGTAGCTATAGTAGTAAACACCAAACCAAAGGCAGAGCCATCTATATTAAGAAGACAACACAGACGCACACACGTAAATGCGAGTTTATCCGTCTGTCTTTCTCTTTCACTCTCAGGCGTAGTATAGTACACCTCCTACGCACGAGAGCGCGCGTACTACTACGCTACGCTCTCTCTCCGATGTATTCTCCTTCTCTCTCGGCGAGCGAGAGAGCGTGAGAGAAGATGGCGACGTGTTTGAAAAGGTCGTCGTCGTTGCTAGAGCTCATCTGCCCGGTGTGTCGTACGATTCTGCGGGAGCCGGTCACCTTGCCTTGCGCTCACAATCTTTGCCTTCGCTGTCTCCAAGGCACCGTGCAACACAACAGCCTCACGTGTCCTCTGTGCAGGCAAAGACTCGGCTCTTGGCTACGCGCCGCCACCAAATCCGAGAACCTCGTCAACGCCGAGCTTTGGCAACTCATCAGGCGCAGCTTCCCTAGGGAACTCGATCAAGCTGCATCCGTGACAGCAGTAGCGGGTACGAGTAGTACTGGACACAGTGTTGCTGCTGTTGACTTTGACGCTGGTAAGTTTTGCCAAGTTGCGTCACTCGCGACCACATCCGACGTCTTCTCATTGTGTTGTTTATTGTGCTACGTCTGTGTGTGTACAGTAGCTAACGCTGCTGACCGAGAGGACTAAACATGAACGATGGATGTTTTGCTTTTGATTTTGCAGGCTTCATCCCCAAAAAGATACTTAGTGCTGCTGGTGAGATAAGGAGGGAGTATGAGATCCAATTGCAATTGGCCCAGGAGGAGATGCAAAGGCAGCAGGAAAAGGAGAGGTTAGCCAGCGAGGTGCTGATTAGGAAGTTACAGGAAGATGAGGAGCAAGAGAAGCTGATGCTGTTGGCTCAGGATCAACTGCTAGCCAAAACTCTAGCTAAGAGAGAGTGCAGCATCAGCAAAAATGCCACGACAGTTAGTGTAGATAAGCCAAGTCAATCAAAGCCAGCGACCAATCAAAAGATGTCAGTTAAAAAGCAGAACGTTGCACCCATATCGAAAATCAGGTCTGAGAAATATTTATTGAATGCCAAGACTAATCCTGCTAATGTACAAAAAGAGTCACAGGACACCTTTGGCTCTTACAAGCCTGTGCCAATTCACAATGCCGTTACCAGAGTTGTTACACATCAGAGCCGACTGAATCAGCCAAACAATTCAACCTATTCAGCTGCCTTGGTAAGTTTTTTTTCTGACAGATCATTGATTATTCTTGAAATTACAGCTTTTATGGATTATTGCATTGCTTAACAGGGAGAACTTGTTGGTTCTACTTCTAAAATTTATGGATTACAAAGCAAAGAGGAATTGCAAGTTCCCAGTGATGTTCTCAGCAGTAAAAAGAAAAAGTTAGGCGTTGAAGTGTGTATTACAAATGTCGAAGGAGAAGAGAGGATTGGTAGTGCTGAAAGTGCTGGAAGTCATGATAGTATCAATCAGGAGATACATCATTTTAAGCCAATCAAAGCTTTGCCTCGCACACCACTAAAAGTCACAGGTAAATTATTTTATATACAATTTTTTCCCTCGAAAATTGAAATATCAGTAGTTAGTATTTTGGCTAATGTTAATCAATTCACAGATGGTAGACAATTTGACCTAAAATTAATTAGGGTCTTGGCAACATATAAGAAAATTACTAATGCAGTGTTGAAACCTCCAGTGCAGACAAATTCAAGAAAAACATTTGGGTGTTCTTGGAGTGCTTTTAAGAGTGAATTATAAATCATTTATTAAGTGCAACAGTGATTTTTTTCTGAATATTATTTAATAATTATTTTGTAATTTCAGGGATATCAAGGAAACAGGTGCTACAAAAAGAGCCTGTAAATATTTACCAAGAGACTAAAAAGACTGAGAAAAAATTAGAACCCTTGCAGACAGTAGCCAAGTCAAGTAAACTGGCATCAGAAGTAGAAGAAACGTCAAAGCGAAAGCGCAATATAGAAGTGGCATTTGATAGCAACGAAAATTATACTAAGAAAATCGTTAATGGCATAAAAGTCAGTAAGAAGTTTAATATTGATGAGCAAACGGAAGTAAAGTCTAACAGGCGAATAGGCAATGTGAAAAACGGGCTTGTTCTGGGTAAACACAAGTCAAATAAAGTCATAGAAGTCGTTAATATCGATGACGATGAGCCTGCACCTGAACCTCCAGCTGGTAATTCGTCGTTGAAAATGAGAACGCCTGATCCTTTAGCTTTCACTCCGAAAAATGATACAAGGCAGCCTAGTCCATTTTGGGAAATGGCCATTGAAAATATCGCTGAGAGAATCAAGAGAAGGAAAACATCGAGGACTACTAGCAATACCGAAAATATTCAAAGTGCAATCAATCTGGTAAGTGTGTGGATGTATTATTATTTTATATACGTTATAAGATACATTACAATCTGAAAAATGTTTTACAATTATTTAGAAATATTTATGTATCTGAAAAATTAAAAATGATAAATGCTTTCCAGGTCAAACCGGCAGTTAAGTCCAAGAACTCCAAACCTGCTAAAAAATCAAGCAAACCAAAAGTGAAAAAGACTAGCACTGCAGGAAACAAAACAGCAGCGACAAAAGCAGCAAAGGCAAAAACGAAAACACCGAAAACTACGACAATCACTAGTCAGATCAAGAGATTAGCTGCTCGATCTTCAAAACGACCGAGGTACACCGAAGATTCAGAATCCGAACCGGAAGATCTGGAACCGGTCGTTGAACAACCCAACCCCGAGCCAGTGAAACAACCAGAGCCTGAAAAACTAGCTGCTCCATCACCATCGCCACGCAAGAAACCTCGTAAAAATGCTAAACCTCGACGTAACAAACCGAAGAGTCCCGATGATGATGCGATAATTAAAGAGCAAGAACGTTTAGAGAGACTTGCTGCTCAAGAACGTGAAGATCGTGAATTGGCTTTGCGATTGCAAGCTCAATTCGATGCTATGGAGAGAACACCTGTTAGGACGAGGAGAGGTGTAGCTAATAGGGTTATGACTCCCGTACTGATGGAAAGGAGGCCACAGAAACGAGCGCTAGTCGAGTAGGACTTACCTAGGATCCTCGTAAGGATCAGCAGGCTTCGCGCTGGCCGATTTCGCGCTTATATGGTCAAGTGAGTTACCATACGATCTACTAAATTATTTTAGGTTTTTTATCTCTTGCAATAATGCATCGTATTTTTTTAGGGCTTAGCAATTTACGATTTTCTTCAGCTAACACACGCAAGAAGTGATTGATCAGAAAGCTCGCAATATACTTGAACATTTTGTAGATTTGATTCTCAACGATTTCGATCTCTTGTATTCACTTGATGTTATCCGACCGAACTTGTTCCTAGTTCTTGGGTCATTATTGAAGAGGCACATCTATCAGCCAGAACTAGCTAAATAGTTGTTCTTTAACTATGACAAACTATCAGTTTGTTAGATAAATTAATTTCACTAAAACACATTCAACAATTTTTAATGCTATTTGCATACCGACGGTACGACATTTGTTACTTTCTGTTTCAATTCAAATCTACATTATAGTAGTAAAAATGTATCGGGTTTTCGTTTGAATATCCTATAAGCTAGATATATTTTTATGAAAGTAGTGTATGTTACAATTGATTCCCAGTGATTATTCTTACGCCATGATTCACATAATAATGAGCAGTATTTATACGCAACATGCACATTTATGCACATGCACATTATTATTATTATTATTTTCGTTTGCTTTACAAACAAATGAAATTTGTTATATTCATGGGTTTCCTATTCTCCATTGTCCATATCGAAGCTCGCTATCTGCATCAAAAATATGCATTGTACAATAAAAGAAAAAACTCGAAAATGGAGTATAAAGACTCGATTTCGCTTAGCGTAAAGACAAGTCCATGGTTCTTGGAAGTTTGTCGTTCATCTTGTTTATATAATAATGTGCTGCTGGAGAAAAAATGAACGATCAATTTCCAACACCTTTGAAATGAATTTATTTTATTATTTTTGTACGAGTGTTACAATACACATGGTATAGATAGGCATTTAATCATGTGTAAAAAATATCAGCTAGTATGTAACTCGCGACTATAACTTCATTTGTACAGCATCACTTAATCATTTTATAAAGTAAGAGTTTTGTATAGCTACAACAGTGGATTTTGTTCCAAAATTAATGTCAAATCAATAACATAAACTCGTCACTATTAAGATTCAACTGTCGCGCGTGAATAGTACGTTGTATTTTGTATAGATCTTTGTCTTTTTTCTTTCGTAAGGGAAAATGTAGTACTATTATAAATTTTAGGTAAAACGAAATAATATTTTCTGATAAATTAATTTGAAAGATCATGATTTAGTATGTATAATAGTTTCGAGTGATACATTTTTAGATTTAGTACTTACAAAAAAGAATTATGCATATAAGTTAAATTATACTTTATTTAAATGTTTTAAAAGACAATGAGTTTTGTGATAGTTATAAAAAGTAGAGTGATTGGTAGATTAAGTTTTACGATAAAATTAGTAAAGACGAAAAGATTCATGCAAAAAAGGTAGAGCTAATTGAATATTTTTAATTTTGGTATTTAATCCACTATCTCAGAGTGCAACAATTTTTGACGAAATGGTTGTACTAACGAAGACTTGTAAAAAAAGCGAGAAGTATGAAGTTAAAAGAATTGATTAAGGGTTAAATGTGTGTTATGTCACTTTGAAGTGTCCCCGCGCAAAAAAAAACAAAACTATTGTCAAATACTGTATGCAATGCTATGTAGGTTAGATGAGTAAAAAAGTGAATTCTATAGTTATGATAAGAAATATAATGGTCTGTTTACGGATCAGTACAATATATATTACGACCTAGTGTGTTAAAATACCTTCAACTATATTTACTGCGTAAACAAACAATTTTTTACATAAAACGACATGTGTAATTAAAAAAATCAAGGCTATGGGAGTCTTGAGTTTCTTCCATTTACCAAACAAAAAAAAGGAATAAGAATAATATAGACAGAGAAAATATAAAATATATATGATGTTTTATTCGTTATGATTTTTGCACTTTGTATCTCTTTTCTTTTGCAAAGGAGAGCAAAACAAACAAAATCACAAATATTTTTCATAACGGACTGATATGCATGAATTTTCGTTAAGAAAAATGCCGTAATATAATGAAATATATATGTTCTCGTTAAGAATTTATATCCCAAGAAAGATTAAGTTGTAAATAGGTGGAATTTTTGTATAAGACGGATTTTATCCCGACACAACTAAGAATGTAAAACTTTGATCAATGAACAAACTGAAAAATAGAAAAAACATTAAACTTTGAGATATATATCTGATTGAACTTACGAGTAAATATTTCAATGTAGAAAGAAATTACTTTTGTATGTATGATATTTCGAAAAAAAAGCATGAAGTCCTATGTTTGTCTTCAGAAACATAGTGAACGATAAAAATTATTCCAAAAAAGCTGTGGGAAATTATTAATAAATTTATGAACTACTGATAAGTCAATTTAATTTTGTCATTTCCTTCGATTTTATCTATAAATTTTTAGGTTTTAAATAGATAAATTAATTTGTTAGATTCTATGCTTCAAACCATTATTTTTTAAGCAACATTATATAAAACGTTTGCAGCTACAAATGAGCTAGAAATTTGTTAAGGTAATATGAGAAGAAAATACTTTTTATTATCGCACGCAACAAAAATGCATTTACTTATTAAGTATTCAGACTGAAAAAGTGCATTTCAAGTATAGGTGGTTAAAAGTTTGGTTTATTACTGAAATGCAGAAAATGAATAGATCATGGAAAAATTTCAGCAAACTTGTACATAAAGATAAATTGTCATACAGCTAATTTTATTCTGTTTTATATGGTATTTTATGATGATTATTAATCGTAGATTGGTATTAGGTTACTTAAGTGAATTGGATAAAATTATATAATCAGTAATTGAAGTTGGATTTTCAAAAAATTAGAATTTGAAAAATTGTTAAAATCCGAAGGTTGTAGACGAGCATAGAGAGCCAGTTGTGACGAAGTATTGTGCAACTATTTATTTTTTATCGTTTAAACTGTAACTTTGAGTGCAAGATGGCTTGAGTTCTGATAAAAGTGGTGACAGTCTGTAAAATTTTATTAAAGCTCAAAGATCTATAAAGTCGTATGAAATGCTAAAAAGATCTAGGAGGTCCACGAAATTTTCGTCATGATTGTAAGCGAGCAGCAATGTAATTTCATCCAAATCATTTGCCTAGTAAAAGTCATTCCGGTAAACATATTCGCACGTAACGCTTAGCCCTATTACCCAAATGTTCTGTACGACACAGCTGCTTTCACCCGGAAAACTACATGGTCGGGGCACGCGACGAAAAAGGATGAAAAAAACGACGGACACAACACGCGGTTACATAACCAAAGGTGAGTGCTTAGATAACAGCGTTCGAGCGCGAGAAAGGAGAAAGTGTACGCTTCGTGCGCGCGCGTGCGGGTTAAGAGGGGAAAAAATGAGCGTGTGGCTCGAGGGGCGAGTGTCTCTTTGTACAATGTCGTGCCCTTGTGGATATTCTAGGATTTTGGTGTAAAAGCTACAGTAAGACGGATCTTCGAGCGGTGCGTACCGTTTCTGTACGTCGCAAGAAGTCGTTGCCATTAATTGAAATTTAGGCGCGAGCGGTGACCGATCAAACCTACGTCATCAATATTCCGCAATATATACGTGGCGCAGAAGCGTCATATACCTGTTTGGCACATCAAGCGCACAAGGTCGTCGAAGGTCCGTAGAGATAGCTTACAAAAACACGCTTTACGTACTTGCAGTGCAATTGCGAGTGAATTCAGCGCCGACTGTAAAGTCAGACACTAAACGCGAACGAATCGCGCATTTTGGGCGCACTCAAAATTACGGAAAGTTGTAATCTCACGAAAGCGACTTGGTCCGCTATACGCGCGACAAACGAAACGCAAATTCGATTTCTCGCAGCGACAATTCACGTCGAACGCTCCTTTCCCAAGAAACGAAAGAAAAACATTGGCAAGCCCACGCTCAAGGGCTCCCCTCGGAAAAATTACGTTTGATATCCTAATGCAAACGCAACTTGCAGCGAGCGCTAAACGAAGCGAGAGAGAGAGAGAGAGAAGCATACGTGTGTTGCGCGGCCTCGGAGCACGGCTGCTGCAACGTGACCAGCCACGTGAGCGGATTCTTTGGTCACGTTGCACACGGCGTGGTGTGCGTTCGTGCCGCGGCCACTGTCTCCGCTGCCAACTTTATTCGCTCGCCGATCGCCGACTTGCTTGCTTGCCTTCCTCTCCGCACTTTCAGTTTTACTGCAATACCCTTCGCTTCTGTGAATCAGTTTGTTTTTCCTCCTCGTCGTTGATCTGTGGTGTGCTTGTGATTGCTGTTCTGCGCCCACTTCTCTTAGATTTTGATACTGGTGAAGTGCGAATTCAGTGTTGCCGGAGATAGACGCGGAAGAGGTGAGCGTACATTAATTTTGGTGAGAGGGTTGTGAAATCTGTGGAGATGATTTGGGTGGAGATGCGATTGCGAATTCATCTCCTCTTGTGTTTTCGTTGCGAGAACCTAATTTTGTAAGAGTATGGATTGCAAATTAAGTGACGCGACGCGAAGCTTTGAAAAAGAGAATAAACGTAAAAGTAAATTGTTTGATATGCAAAAGTGGGTGCTAGCATTAAAAGAAAAATCGTATCATTAATTGATTGACAAAACTACGACTCCTGCGAGTACGTTACTTTTCAAATAATAATCACATTTGATTCAATGCTCTTGATATTCGTAAACAATTAATCATGAACAGCATAGAGAAGAAAAGATCGTCATAGTTATCAGTTAGATCGAGTTTGGTGTGCTACGTGCGCGCGCGCAGAAAATCGGCACCATACATACGGATTGGTGATAATCATCTGCGATGGCCGTCTCCTCCCCCGGTGTCGATTCTTTGATGTAATATACGTGTGAATTATTTTGTTGTTGTCATCGTTGCGAACTCTTTCATTAAGTTCATACGAGTAATACAAAAATGTTGATAAATTTTTTTGAAAAAATCTCTGTAATTGATATTACTCCATAGAGTTTCTAGGAATGAAATTCAGAGTGTTTTCAGGATTGTCGGCATACATTTTTTACAATTATGGGTGACGACATTATTTAATAAGTATTAATTGTACAGAAAGCCGACTTCGAAGCTTTCTTGCAATTACTCTTTAGCTCATGTTTTAATCAAGTTGATAATCAGTTGGGAACATTAGGCTTCCAAAAGAAAATTAGGTCTCCAATACAGAGCCATCTCCTTTTTTCAGTCGGCAAAAATGGTTATATAATTTTTGTCGTTTATACATCCTCTGCTAATGATCCTCGTTACGACTGCCCGATGCCAATATCTGCATTTTCCCTGCGCTCCGTGAGTAGCTTCGATTCATTATTTTGATAAGCCCTTCTTTGTTTATTGAAGAACATGTAATATCTTAAAGTTTTAATTTAAAGCAAAATGCAATAATTTTGTTTTTTTTTTTCATTCAATGATACAAGCTTAATAAGCAAAGAATAGATCGCATCCTATAATTTAGCAGAAGTCTTTATCCGCATCAATTGCTAAAAACAATTCGATAATGTCCAAGTACAGGGAATAAATAAAGTCAAATGCAGCCTTCAATCGCGCTATCTAACGTATAGTATACCCTCTGAAAAATCTGCAACGCACAGCAAAATAAACAGTAGCAGTGTAGCCACGGTGGTCGCGCGCTGCACTGGCGCAGCGGATAGCGAAACCTCTTAGATAACAGAGCTCGTACGTGTGGCAGAGTCAGTTGGCTGTCGGCTATCGATAGCAGCACGGTTGAACACAATTTCGCGATCGTAACGCGCTCTTCTATACACTCTTTCCTCCTCCTCGGCGTCGCCGTGGAAAGAGTAAAAGAAAAGAACTTCTCGAATGATCAACGATGCGAGCGCGCGATTCTTATTTCGCTGGTTTTCGTAATCGTCGTCTGTGATGAGCATGCATTTCTTTTTCTTTGATGTCAGAGGTGGACAAGACTGATAGAAAAATATTGACCGCGGGACGAGATGAAATTTTCTTTATTCTCGCGAGTAAGTAGTCACGGTAGAATATGGTCAGACCGAACCAAAGCGCTACCTTCTCTGTTAAACGAGAATAATTCCCATTGTCTCTGCGACTGATGTTGAATAGTAGTGAAGGGCGATAGGTAAGACACTGCTTTTGAGACTGTTTACAAAGCTATAGATAACTATAGACAAACAAGTATCGTGAATTCAAAGGAAATAAAAGATGTAGAAGAGAAATCGGCACGGAAATCGAAGATCGGCATTGGCAGTGCGCGCGTCATGTCAGATCCACGTCCGTTTCAAATGATGACGTTCGGTGCACCAAGAATATTCCTTCAGAGATTAAAGCGAACAACGCGTGCATGTACTTGTAGCTACTGCGCACGCCACACATTTCAATGAAAATTTTCAATGAAACAGACTCACACTTTTTCGTCCGATTAATCAATCGTTCGCATGAAGTATTGCATAAATAGTAAATGTTATGATTTGCTTTGATCGATGTACACTTTCAATATTTATTAGACGAACCATATCCCATCACGAAGTAATTACGATCAATACGAAATCCTACTAATTTATGGACTATACTTAAGTAGATACATCAAAGTTTTGATTAGGTGCACTTTGAACTACATTATTGACGCTCATTCATTCATAGTTTCTTTCATTGTAAACTATCAATGGATTTCCATCGATGCCAAAATCCATCTTAGCAAATACAGTCATATGTTCACGGTGCACGTGTTTACCAACACAACGCGGTCATTCGCAAGCTTCGAACCGGTAAAGCCGGCTACTGCTTGTTTCGCACTCGGCAATGACGTAAACAATTTTCGTAGCTGTGCGAGTATCTTCATTGGAGGGCGTGTTTTGGCCCCCTTGTCGAACTGATAGTAATTCGCTTAATTGAAATTAGATATTGAAAGAGAGATGATATCGCTCCAGTCGAAGTAGTAACTCTGACTTTTTGATAATTAACGTTACGTCATGAGGAAATCTTCTAATTATTATTGATCGAAATGCTATTTACTCGTGTAAGCTCATTGTTACAATTGATGAGAATATGAAGTTTCGAGGGCTTGAAAAATAAAGTTGAATTTTAACTCTTAGCTTATAGAAATTAGATGTATCTTTTTCTTCTTTTTCAATTGAATTATAAATCTCATAAACAAGTTTTTTCTTCTTACAGCTCGTACAATTTTCACTAAATACAGAGGAACTTGAAAATATATGTTCAATATGTGACAATCGATCGATTAAGTAAAAAAGAATGCAATGACGAAAGAGCACGAGTTGACAAGTTCATTCCTCGTACAGCAGTGTCTTCTTTCTAATTCGTTCTAAGGAACGCGAAATGATGAAAAAAGCATCGCGAACCCGAAAAAGGAGTTGAATAGTGGCTAGTACAATGGGTGTCACGTTGCAAGCTATGTTTCTCTGTTACGTTGTGACGAATAAATTCCGAAGAGCGTTGTGACGGTGATTTTACTGCTCACTGTACGATTGCCAAACTTTGGCACTGTGATCTGATGCCGTACGTGGCTAAATTTTAATTTTCATGCGATAAACGCAATTTTTAATCAAAACACGACTCGATTTTATGCGAGCTACGATGAAATTCACTCAAACTAAAGATCGAACTGTGTGTATACGAACTTCAACGCGAAATACGAAAAATATATCTTTTTATCTTTTGACACAAAGGATATTTGCTATTGCTGCAACATTCTTTTTTTCTATATAACGTCGTAATTGTGCTTATTGTGAAACATACATTCAGACGCGCAAACGAGCGCAAAATAAATATTTCTATTTTTTCACAAAGAAAGTATTTTCATAAATTTTGGAATGATATAACCTGCCGTACACTGGCAAATAAACAAACATTGAAATTTTCAAATCGTTTTTAAAGATTAAAATATCATACTCGCGGAGTGAGACATAAATTGATGTATTTTAATCTGCGATTAACCGAGCAGCACATCGGTTAATACGTAAGCCAAAATCATTTGCAATGCAATCATCCAAAAATAATGTTCGAAATTATTCTCGATTTGTCGGCTATCGACTCTCTTTTCCTAGGTGTTATGCAACTTAGATATGTCGTAATCGAGACAGATATTAGACGCGGCCCTGATCAAGACGTACGTCTCGAGAAAATTCGCTGAGAAGTCGACTGTTTTATCATCGCGTTTGAAGGATTACGAGGTAGTTAATCTTTTGTTTTCTGTTGATATAATGTAGAAGTGTGATGAATTTTCCGAAAAAAAAAAAGAAAATGTACTATTGATATGTTCAATAGTGCTGAGATCTACATTCACAAATGATTCTTAAAACAAATTAACGTGGACGATGCACTGAATGTGAGAGTATGAAGAACGTGGACTTGATTGATAATTCAGCCGTGAAACGAAAAAAAAGTTTAAATTTCGATGCAAGCTGAACGAATTTCATTTCCGACTGTGCGAAGACCGACTTTCGTTGGAGTGTCAACGCTTCCACCAGAAAATTAAAAAGTCGTAAAATATTCGCAAACGTTCTACATAAAAATAAGTAGAGCGAAACCGCAATTAGCAAATAAGGCAATAAGTAACGAAGAAGAAGAAAAAAACGCACAATTGACCCTCAAGTCTATATTTGAGGAATAAAGTTATATGTCGTCTGGCAACAATCTGAATAGATGATATAATCACAAGTGCATTAAATCCATTGCCACTCGAAGACTCATTACGTGCGGCGATACAAAACGTTACGGCATTAATTTTCAAACGCCTCGAGTCTCTTTGAAATATTGGATAAGGTGAAAAGTGACTTCCGTATATCACAATGCAACTAAACCTACCAGTTTGCAGTTGTGTGATTTTTTTATCCATTGTATTTTTATGTCTTCTTTTATTGCCAGTTGTATGATAACGTTTTTGCTTACGTAAGACGTAAGCAGCAAAAGTTTATAAATTCACGAGGTCGTGTTCATTTTATAAATACGTTTGTACTACTTGATGTCTTTCTGAGATTATGATGTAAGAATGTCATTGATACTGAAAACTACTATGCATTTGCCTTTTAAATATTTGTACGGGTTTGTCTCCTACGTGATTGTTGTCTTCGCGATCGAACTTACATGTTCTAAGTAAGCAACGTGAAAATCAATGTACGTTGATAGTGCGACAGTATAAACATTCGGCAAAAGCTAGAATGTTATTCTGTAGTGGTTTTCATACCTGTGTATTAGCACTATTATTTAGCGATTGAAAACAAACAATACGACTGGTATACATTCGACTGCAAACAATGTCCGCGATTTTATCACGAGCATTCGGCATTGTACCATAATTGACACGGAAAACGTGTGACAAAGAGAAAATAGCAACCCAAAATTGGGCAGCTTAATCGATGCTACAACTAATCCGATTGTAACTTGCGTTGAAAAAAATTATTCGCACTCGATTCATGATTCTTCTTCCCGGGGAAGGTCGACGACCGCAACACTTCGCTCGCGAGGTCAATCTGCTAAGCACGAAGCCAAGCTTACTCGCGAGATGCCGAAAAACACACCGAAGCATACATAAAAGTGGCAGGTAGAGAGAGAGAGAGAGAGAGAGAGAGAGAGAGAGAGAGAGAGAGAGAGAGAGAGAGAGAGGGCAGCCGCGGGGCGCTCCATGGAATTGAAAAACTTTCGGTGGATGTTGCATTTTTCATCCGCGCGCTGCGCCGCGCGGCAGCAGCCCCTCTCGAAGCGAGAAACGGGGTGAGCGCTGGAACTGTCGGCGAAGATAGCTTTTTTGTTTCCGCGTAATACGGACTCAGATGGGCGACGTGCATTTTCTTTTTCGCCCGATGAACGAGCTAATGGCCGCGCGGCCGTTCGAGCTACAGCTCGGCGCGTTTCATTTGCATTCTATTTTAGCTCCGCGGCAGAATGATATTGTGTAATCAAGAGTTACGGATGAGTTTACGTGGAAGTCGTGTTCAATGTTACCGGCGCCCAACTGCACAATCAACTGCGAATGAAACTCTCGTTTGACAAATGGAAAAAAAAGAACGCGCACGAAAATTTCTAAATTCCTTTTTTTTATAATTTTTTTTTATGCGTAATCTAAAAACGAATAGTTAAATATTTTTATCGATCGTTTTTTTCACGATGGTAAAAGACAACAGATTTTATAGATCACACTGGGTAAACTTTTACAAATAACATTCTTAATATAATATATATAATACTTGACAGTTTCAGCTCGGATGAGGCGATAACCATGCGAGCATATCCACCAGTAGTATCTCAGTCGCAGGCGAATAGCGAGAAAAAATTATGTAACATCGTCGGAAGGAACAGCCATCAAGTGATTCAGATGAGTCAAGCAGCTTTGACACCGACGTTTCTCCAACCGCTACTTGTGGTAAACTACGGCGACGCTAATAGAACTGAACTGTACAAAGTCGTTGACGAATGATAAAAACGTTCGCTATTTTTTTTTTTGTTGACGCGCGGGAGAAAATTATCTTGGGTTATATCGTTAGCGAGTTATGTGATTTCACCATGCAAGGCGTGAATAAGTCATGTATTTATGGTTTTACGCATTACGCACAGCGATAGTCAGTCGCGATTTATCAAGTAAGCACAAAGATATTTCGTGAAACATAAAGTTGCATAAATATATTATTTATCGATAAGACCCAAGTGCTTCATCTAAGTTATTCATCTAAAAGTCAGTTAAAATTTGTAATGCCGTACGAACGCCAATACAATAGCTTAACATTGATTGCAATATTGCAAAAGCAGAAAAAGTACAGCTCGCGGAAAGATCCACCCAGTGACAGCAAAGAAAGTAGACGAAATTCTAATGATTTGGACTGTTTTCTGTTTTTCTCTTATGATTATGATATCAGAATTTCAACACAGCTCAAACTAGTCCAATATCACGGTTTCACCTCCGCAGAGCGGCTGAGCTGAGGATGACGGGCAGCCAGAGTAGCGAGCTCGGCTGTGCCACTGGTCTTGTTCAGCACCATCATCAGCAGCAAGGTCCGGGACCACCGATCGACGCCAAAAGCAGCGACACGCTGAGCGATGGCGTGGCTGTTCAGGGCGACGGCAAAAAGCATACTGTACATTGGTTTCGCAAAGGTTTGAGACTTCATGACAATCCGTCGCTTCGCGATGGACTTGCCGGCGCGTCCACCTTCAGATGTGTCTTTGTGCTCGATCCTTGGTTCGCCGGGAGCACTAATGTCAGCATCAATAAGTGGAGGTGAGCAAGCCTCGCTTCCTTCATTTTCGACGAATATTAATTTGACCAAAGTTACTTTTTCGACACTAAACTTTCCAGTTATAATATTTGGCGAGCGATTGTGTCTGCGCGTGTATACGCGAGTAGAGGAAAGTTGAAGGAGATTGCAGTTAAAGTGCATAAAGTAGGCGAGAGCGTATTAGTCAGCCTCGCGGTAAAAGATGGCTGTTGCTCTCTTTTTCTCTTCTTCTTGCAGCGCGGCGCAGCATTTATACGTATTTATAAGGGCCCAGATAATGTTGTTGCTCAAACTTTTCTTGCGACCAGCGCTGCGCACCAAAGTTCTCTCAACGCGGCATATTTCTTCAGTTTTTGCAAGTTACTTCATTAGCATGCGCTCGCGGACTGTTCTGCCGTGTTTCGGCGAGGACGAGTGCTTCGTCACGTTAACGTCGTCCGGTATATTTCGTCGATGATTTCGCGAACTTCACTCTTGGACGCGACAGCTACGCCGAGGATATTTTAGCGTTTAAGCCCGCTCCACGCGCGCAGCGAGTTTTACGAGCGAGATCGTCGTTCCGCGGTGGAATCGCGAACCGTTGACCCGAAATCCCCTCACCGCGGAGCCACGCTGATCGCACCAACTTTATTTCTCACTAACGATCAATAAACGCGACTTGCAGATTTCTCCTGCAGTGCTTGGAGGACTTGGATCGCTCGCTGCGCAAGCTCAACTCGCGACTGTTTGTGATTCGCGGGCAGCCGGCGGACGCACTTCCAAAATTATTCAAAGAATGGCGCACGACGTCTTTGACTTTCGAGGAGGATCCCGAGCCTTACGGCAGGGTCCGCGACGAAAACATCACGACTTTGTGCAAGGAGCTCGGCATCAGCGTCGTCCAGAGGGTCTCGCACACGCTCTACAAACTCGACGAGTGAGTATAATCCACACTCTGCTCCGCGACTGCGAGATCATCGCAACGACGTACTTTAGCGCGGCTTCGCTCGATGTGCCATGCCATCGCGTTGACGTGCCTCGGACGAGCGGCCGCTGTATTGCTGCTCGCCTGGAATGCCATTCTTACGAACGAACTTGCCCTCTCCGCAAGTCTTTCATCTTTTCGTTGCCGCACTCGCCCGAGCAATAGTTTTGCCATTGCCGATTGTTTGTTCCACAGCGATGCCTTGTGTTATTATCAAAACTGCAACAACAAAATAATCTTCGCCTTCGCGAACGCCAGATAAAAGTGAATTGCAGCGTAGCCTTGCGCGCACATACAGATATCAAAGCGTTCTCTCGGCCATCCTAGGCCGCGGCAAAAAGTCGACGTGGTACTTCAACACGCGCCGCCGCTTCAGTCTTTTTTTTTTTTTTCTTATTCTCCTGCTATTTTTTTTTACGATTCGCGCGCGTATGGAAGAAAGAAACGCGAGACACTGGCTTGTGCGCACAAGAAGAAACGAACGCGATCGAGGAGTTTTTTTTTTTCTCTTGCATGTCGGTAATAAAAGATTTTTTTATTCTTTCTTTTCTTTCGTCGACGAAGAAGTACGGAGATTTATCGGTTTTTCCTGCGCGAGCTGCCTTCGGATAGGCTATGCGCGCCCGAAACTGCAAGCAAAGAAGAGAACAAGCGGCGACCTGATATTCCGAAAATTCTGCGGCCAATTCGACCAAATCGATTTATAAAGTACACGTCGTAAAACATTACAAATCGCGCGCGAGTATTGAAACGGCCGTGCAAACATTGTCATATATATCCAGCGCCAACACAAAAACGCTCGAAAAAGAAAAATGTCCATATCATCAATATTTCCAGTTTGACAAACAGCCACTATCCGATCCTCTCTTTTGCTTGCCATGAAAAAAAAAAGTGTCCGTTCCTTTCAGCGCGGCGCAAAATCTCCGTGGCAGGCTATGCTTGGAAGGCCGAGCGATCGATCGACTGACGCGAAAGCATCGATCAAGCGTCGGCGCAGTTGAAATACATTTGCGAATTTCAATTCGACCGCAGCGCGCGTTGTTCTCGGCCGTAAATTCGACATAAACATCGGAACGGAGAAAGAAGCCGAGGGATCAGATGACAGGGAGGGGATAGAGCTTAACGTACAGATGTTGCGCGGCATAAATTAGCCGGCGTTAATGGCAACATGCCAGTGCAGGGACCTACGCGCGCGTGTGTATTCGTGTACCGATCTCGAGTTATGGCTTTTTGATGGATGTAGCTGACGATGCTTCTGATACATTGTATATCAATTGCCGTGTTGTACGGTGAATTATTCATGTTTAGAATGAAATTGGGATCGTTGGGAAAGTTAAAAAAGACTTACTTTAATTCTAAGTTAACCTTAAGGTTCCTTGCTCCCTCTGCTGTTTTTTTTCAGTCTAAATGATTTACCTTAGTGTAACAATGGGACTTTTCTTTTAATAACAATATTCGTGAATTTTATTTAGTAGAGTTTCCAATTCAAACGGGAAAGTCTTTCCGGTTCTTCAAATTTCAATGGGCAAAAAACTGAATATGTGGATGTGATATGAAGAGCAGGCTTTTACAACCGGTAAAAGAGTAGATGTAAAGAAAAAAAAGCATAATATGCTGATGTTAAGTTCAATTTCAAATGTTGTTACCTTTCCACGCGGAATGGCTCCTTTGAGTTGCATTTTAATTACACTTCAGTGATTTGGCAAGTGAAAAACTTTTTCCCGAACTTTAATTACAAGCGAAGGTGTATTTGCATTGCATTTAATTAAGATGGCTTTTATTAAGCAGACACGTAAAAAAGAATATAGACAGTGGTCATTCTGAATTCTCATTCGTTTCGGACTATCCATCATTGTCACACCCACTCGCCGTACCAAAATAATTTCGTCCGGCCCCTCGCGTAAAGTAAATGTTGCGCTCAAAACAGTAACGTGTAAATTGATAATTCCCGGTGTTATTCCACGCGTGGGGGGGGGGGGCTTATTCCGGTTACGGCGACGACGCTAATGAAAAACCGTGTCGCATTATATCAGCACGCCGAGCGTTTCAGCAAGTCGAACGCGAGCTTTTTACTTTCTCTCGCTCGCAAATTAAAAGGATTACGACGGCGGCGAGAGTCGGACTGTTTTCACTCGAGGATTAGCCTCGCGAAATGTACACAGCCAACCGCACTTGGTAATTATTCCTCTTTCTTTCTTTTTTTTTCTCTCGCGTGGTGAGGTGTTTGCTTTTTTACGCACGATCGAGTTTGCGATGAATATGATATTCGTGCAGCGGCCGATATCGGTGGGTATAACAAGTGGCGCGCTCGATTAAGCCTTTGTTATACCCAGCGACAGAGTGGAAATTCATTATGTCGTTGTTATCGAGCTATGCATTATTGTTATTGAAAAAAAAGAGACAATGGTCTGATGGAAATTTATCAGTGTACGATTGAGGAAAAAAAATCGCGCGTGTATTATATATGGAAAGGCACTTTTTTCGTTCATTGGATACGCGGCAAGGCCGATAATCGTAGTAGGTTTGCGCGTCAACAGCACCTGCGCAGCTGCTGTTACTGCAACTTCGACCCTCTTGGCAACTCTGCTCTCTCTCTCTCTCTCTCTCTCTCTTGCTTTAGCCCAGGGGCAAGCTTTCATTCCTACTTTTATTGTTGACGCGCTCTCTCGAGGCCTTGCTTGCACTTCTTTTTTTTTACTTTTCACAGGCGGAACCGAATAAAAGTCCACGACGAAACTTGGCTTGCGGAGATAATAATAATGGCGCTTTTCTCTCTTTTGCTCGCGGTGTGTTTCGAATTTTTTCGTGCCCAAGCTTTGATATTACCGAGGAGGTTATACAGTTCTTTCCCTTCTTTTTCGTCTTTTAACATTTTGATAAATTTGTTGCATCTTTCTCGAGCACGGAAAGTTCTCTTTTGACCGGCGGTTAATGTTAGACGAGGTTGATGCCCATTAAAAAAAATGACTTTCCTCGTTAATTCTAGTTCGTGAAAAATATAAGATAGCAGATAAACCAGTCTGCTATATATGGTTGAAACGATAAATTTGCACATCCTTTATCCGCAGGATAATTGAAAAAAACAATGGAAAACCACCACTGACATATCATCAATTCCAAAGCGTAATCGCCTGTATGGATCCACCAAAACATCCAGTACCTACAGTCACAGCTAATTGTATTGGTAGCGCATACACACCCATGAGAGACGATCACGATGATTACTACGGTGTGCCGACCCTCGAGGAGCTCGGTAAGTGGGCTTGTAAGTCACGTTGAAACAATCAAACTTCGTCCCGCGAGCACAAAAAAGATTAACAGCTCCTTTTTCTTTCCTGCAATCGAGGCTTCGACACCGAAGCGCTCATGGCGCCCATGTGGGTCGGTGGTGAGAGCGAAGCATTAGCCCGTCTTGAACGCCACCTCGAGCGTAAAGCCTGGGTCGCGAGTTTTGGCAGGCCGAAAATGACCCCGCAATCACTTCTACCGAGCCAGACTGGATTATCGCCTTACCTGAGGTTCGGTTGCCTCAGTACACGACTGTTCTACTACCAGCTCACCGATCTCTACAAAAAGGTCATCATTTCCGTTATTTTGTTAATGTCTCGCTTTCGGCTTGTTCAACTTGAGATGTTTCGCTAAAGACAATATTGGTGTGTATTTTTTATATATTGTCGTCTCAGTTGACAAATCAATGAATAAGCCGAAGCCTCGGTTGAATTATCTCACTGCTGGGTTGGGTTGTCGCGTTTGACATTCGATAAGTTGTTGAGTCTAACGATTAATTCTCTTGAATTAAGTCTTTCAGTGCAAGAGCTACGTTACTTTGAGGCTTACCATCTGAAAAGGCAATCTATTGGATTTTCTTCGGAGTAAAGATTAATTGATCCCGTTATTGTGTACAACTTCCAACATTAGTCTTTGCTTTTACTATTAAATATAATCGATATTAATTGATGGAAACAAGTTAGTTTTCAAACGAGTTGTAGGGTAATAGTTAATATAATAGCAATTCATTCGATGCACCCGAAAATTTCGCATAATTGTTTGATAGACAATATTTTGATCGAACAATGAAACAACTCGCGTTTACCGCGGTCACGATAGTACATAATGAACGAAAGCCCAAAAGAAAAACAACACAGCGATAGCGAAATAATCCGACGAAAGAATCAGGCAGCGTGAGTCTGGTTAACCCAAAGTGACATTTTTAATGCCCGATTTGACTGCAGATAAAGAAAACGGTGCCGCCGTTGTCGCTTCACGGCCAGCTGCTGTGGCGCGAATTTTTTTATTGCGCCGCCACCAAGAATCCCAACTTCGATCGGATGCACGGCAATCCCATATGCGTGCAAATACCCTGGGACAAGAACGTCGAGGCGCTTGCCAAATGGGCCAATGTGAGTATTTTTTGCTTTCCATTTCGTTATTGCGATGCCCCCCTCCCCTTTATGCTAATTCTCCGACGAATGTTTCTGCTGCAAACACGTTTCTACTTTGTGACACGTGCCTAATGTTTAACAGTTTTGTTAGAATTACACTTGGAGCATTGATTATTGTGAAATCGATGACGCAATCAGTAGTAGTGTTCCGTTATAGTCAGCCACTATTGCTTCCTTTAGTGTGCCTGTGAAGACTTGATTTTGGGTTTTTAAATTTAATATCAAACATGAATGGTCCACAATTAGGCTTAACCGAGAATATCATATCAGATAATTCATTAGCGTACTCTAAATTCCTCGGTAATCACTCACACGTTTGACTCCCCGGTCGGCTGTGAAAGATCCGACTTTTTTCGAAAGACACATCGACAGCGACAGAACTGCGACCGCTCTTTGTAAAAATTGCAGGGTCAGACGGGTTTTCCCTGGATCGACGCGATAATGACGCAGCTGCGCGAGGAAGGCTGGATTCATCATTTAGCGAGGCACGCAGTCGCCTGCTTCCTGACCAGGGGTGACCTCTGGATCTCGTGGGAGGAAGGCATGAAGGTAAGAGTGTTATTGTAAAAAGGAATTATTTCGAGACGATACTCCAATTATACTCAGCCGCTTGTATCTCTTAATCACATCGCCGAGGGCATATTTGAATATATTCGAAAATTAATCGATAATCGTATATTTCGCAGAAAGAGAAAAGCTGACTTTTGTGCAAAACGTTTTAAGCACTGAACGAAATTACTTGAAATGAGCTCATTCGAGATTATCCTTAAAGTGCCTTTGCCTTGTAAATACTTGTACACTTTGGAGACGCGCGCGCGTGTGTGTGTATATATATAATGAGAGCGAATTGTACGAATGGAAATTACGTACAGGTGTTCGACGAGCTGCTGCTGGACGCCGACTGGTCGATAAACGCGGGCATGTGGATGTGGCTTTCGTGCAGCTCGTTCTTCCAGCAATTCTTCCACTGCTATTGCCCCGTACGATTCGGCAGAAAGGCTGACCCAAATGGCGATTATATTCGGTGAGTCACACACATACATAAATTTGCATAGCGCAAGCGCTCGCCGATTCTGCTTTCGTGTATTTGGAATTCACGAGCCAGCGAGATTCGTTTTAATCCCTTGCGTTAAATTATTTTCCGTTTGGGCTTCGAGCGCCGGGGAATGTCGTGCTCGCTGATTTAGGGATTAAGGCAGTAAAAAATAAATTCCCGCCAGCAATAGCCTTTCCATTTTTTTTATCTTTATCTCGCGGAAAATTCAATAACTGGCTTCTTACGGACCTCGCCTCGAGGGTTTATCGCGTCTTTTAATTTTCAATACAATCGAAAGTTTTCCTTTCATCAAGGCTTGCTTTTAATTACGTCGCTTTGTTCAAATTGAAAGCTCGCTCGATTAATAAAGTGCATTTTTCAAGACGCTACTTACCAGTGCTAAAGAACTTCCCGACGCGTTACATCCACGAGCCGTGGAACGCGCCTCTGTCGGTGCAGCGTGCTGCTAAGTGTATCGTCGGCCAGGAATACTCGTTGCCGATGGTTAACCACAGCAAAAGCTCTCGCATCAACGTTGAGCGCATGAAGCAGGTCTACCAGCAGCTCAGCAAGTATCGAGCCAATGGTACGGATATATCCTTTACGCCTCTCTCTCTCTCTCTCTCTCTCTCTCTCTATCTCTATGTACACGTTGGTGCAAACACGATTAATGGCCTCGTAATATCGAAGCCACATCTGAGCTCTCTCCTACTCAAGGAGCTTGGGGACTTATTGGAATTTACATTCGAGATTAAGGAGATGAGAATTAGTTTCGAAGGCGCTTTGGTGATGATTTTAACTTATGAAAGTTTTTTCTTATTGTAGGACTGTCAATGAAAGGAGACACTATAGGTAAGAATTGACATTGGCTATAAGTGTAACATATTTTACTTGACATCTTTTTTTCACATTATCTCTATTATTGGCGTCAAGAGACCTTTCTCTTTCGGAAATATCACGTGATATATCGCGCCTTGAATACAACATGATATATCGAGTGATTCTGTTTGTAATCATGTGAAAACTTAATGTGTGACGTAAATGTTGTGACATTGTACTTGGCTTTATTCTCGTTAAATGTTAAAATTGTTTTTAAATGTTGTCTTTGTTTTTTTCCAAATTTTTTCTCCATTACAGTCATGAATTTTCAAATTCCCGTCTAAGCATAAGAGCGAACGCAAAAAAAAAAAACAACGAGCACGTTCGCCCAAGTGAGCAAATACTACAATAAACATTACAGGTCTGCTAAGTATCTCGCCCTCGTCGATACCCCCATTCACCTACGAACAGGATAATGAAAATAAAAAGCAGCAACAGCAACAACAGTACCAGCATCGTCATCAGAATCAGCAACAGATGCAACGTTAACATTATGAGCAGCAGCGAACGTTGAATTGGAAGCAGCAAAGCGAACAGAATGGCGACTGCTTAACGTTGCATCGGCAACAGGTTCATCAGTGTCCCCGTCACCAGTAGTCGAGAATCGAGGGGGAAATGTCTTATTTGCGTTTTTATCGCTTATGCGCGAAGAATAGAACGAATGTGAAACGTAAGCGAAAGAATTTTTTTCGCCGTCCGCGTCGAAGCCTGTGCTTCTTGAAATTTACCATGCGTGTGCTGCATCAAATACTCCTAGTGTTTATTCGGGCTAATAAATACTCGTTTAGAGCTCAGATTAGTGCCGAGATGTTTTTGTCGTCTGCTTGACTTCTTGTTCCTTTTTGATAAGTTCAACATTCAATATCTCATAGATAAATATGCATTCATTTACGAATGCACATGAGTTAGTAAAATCTACCAAGTAACCGTAATTTTATGTTACAAGAAATCACAATCAGTGCAATGCTGATCGAAAATTTTCTGAACTAACTAACGTTAAATACGGATGTAAACGATTCACATTTTATCTATAAACTTATATTTTTTATTATCAACATAGTATCTTTTGTAAGGTTACATTTCATTACATATAATCATTAGCGTTTAACTTGATTAATCAACTGAATAGTACGTGAATGAATTTTCATCATTAATTTATTTGTTTTTGTTCGTTGTGCTGATTTATTATTTTTTGTATGTCGATTGGAAAAAAAACATATTTTTCTAAGTATTAGCGTCCTTGATAAAAGTGCGTGCAGACTGTGCGAAGTTTTTTGTGTGTGAAGATATTGCGGAACTTCAAAATAGATAAGCAAAGTGTAAAAACAATGTGTACTGTACAAACAAACAAAAATACTTGAACAGTATTGAAAATATTTTGTTATAGTACAATATAAAGAATTATTCTACGTAGAATAAAGGTTGAGATAAAATAAATGTAATTTAAAATTTATAATCGATACGTTAAATACTTTTATATTTATAATTTTCGAATATAAAGGCAACGTTACTGGCGATAATCATTCTTTTTTGTACTTATTCTATAATTGTAGTCTTTAAGAATGTAATCCATACTTTTTATTACTTTATCCATCACAAATATAGCTTTATTCACTTTATATGAAAATTATAACTTAGAAATTAGGAGATATCATCGGCAGCTATAATTTTGCAAAATGGATAATATGAAAGAGTGTTTCAGAAATCGTGAACGATGCTCATTTGATTTCTGATTTTTTCAGTTACTGTGGCAAATATAATTTTCGATAATTTATACGTAGAATGCATTTATATTTTATATTTCATAGCTTATTATTATACTTTATATTACATTTACTCATATGTAATCATGAATGTAACAATTTTTTTATAGTGCTACTTTTATTTCGTTTTATAAACATTTACTGGTTTCAGTATATCAAGCATTTTCCATCGCGAAGTACGATTCACTGATGCGACATTCTAAACAAAATTATGTTCCGATTTGTTCTTTAATAATACAGTAGATAATCATTTGACGCTTCTGGTTGAGCGATATAAAACAATTTGATAGCGGCGTTTGTACAAAGGCAAAAGTACCAAAACATAATAAGATACGCTAATGTTGAAATGTTATTATATCAGCAGCAGCATTGCGATATAGAAATTTTCGTCGGATATCGAGTGGTCTACATTTTAAATATATATTCTTTAAATCTGATCACAATATTGCGAATTTAGAATTTTGATGTTTATGACATATTCGATTGTGAGCAAATAATCTTTTATATTTTTTTGAAAGAAATAGAAAAAAATGTTTGTAAATTAACTAGAGATGAATTATTAAAAAAAATATAAGCAATTGTTATCCAATTATACCGACAAAGAGTTTTACGGAAAGTTATAAAGACTGAAACGAATTTCAGTAGCCTAACAAACTCAAAGTCCTAAAAATTTCTAGTGACTTCATAATAACGTTTAATTCATCTTTATGAAAGGATAAGTGTTCCATCTGCAGATATTGAAATTCGAACTAACTTGTAGGAGAATTAAACGTAAAAATTATCATTTTTCATCGCGACAAAAAATATTATTCATTCTCGCTCGATGATATATTTTCACGAACTATTTACCGTATCGTTGAGTTGGTATATTCCGAATAATTATATCCACGGGTCAATCGAAAGTAAATTTATCATTGTGTTCGACGATGTTATTAATAATTTTCGTTAAGGAAATGTACAAAATAAAACGATTGTACGCTCTGTCGAGCGATGAGTGATCTGTATAAAAAAATCATACTTTTCGAAAAAAATATGGTCTTCCCTCATTAATCCTAAGCACTATATTATCTTACCATTGGATTCAACGCTCATAGAGGACTTCGAATGAGAATAAACACATATCGATATTATCAAACACGTAAGGGATCACTAAGGGCTATAAGCTCAAAGGACAGGTCGGATGGATGATCAATGTTGGGGGGGGGGGGGGGGGGAGAGGAGCTTCTCTCTTGCACGTGGTGCTTGACGCCTGTTTCGTTGTCGTCGGGCTTGTACTCGCGCGCTCAATGGCTTCGTTGGATCAATGAGCTTCCGAACAGCCGATAAACACGTGCTTTGCGTTGTGCTCCTCCAAAGACACCTTTAATTTTTGGTCGGCCGCAGTAACCACTCGATAACGTTCTTGTTATTGGGTTTATTATAGTCAGATGAAATTTCACAGGATTATTAATTTCTCGAATTGAACGAGTGAAAATTGTCGCGGGCGGTGACGAATTACCCGAGGGACCACTGAAGATTTGCAACTTTCGAAATGATCAGTTCGCGCACATCCGAAGTACTTCTCTCTCTCTCCACTTTCTCGACGCGCCATGTCCATTCTTATACGAGCTGGAGAATTCCGCTCGCGCCCTCATTGTTTTCGCGCGGGCTGATGAATTTTCTCTCGATTGTTCTCGGCGAATTCCGAATGGCCCCTGGTTTGATTGGGCAGAACTTGACCCTCTTTCTGCTAGAAGTTCTCCTCGCGCGGATATGCTTAGGGAAATTGACGTGGAACGAGGATTCAAAAGAAATTTCTTTCGAGCCGATACTTATCCGGGATGGTTGGATCGGCGTAGTCGAGTGAACAATAGAATCCCCCGCCTTTTTTTCAAGCATTCCTCGTTTCGCCAAATGATAATACAACTGGAAAAATACGAATATTTCTTTCTTTTTTGCACATGTATTTGTATTGTATTGTCTGAATCGTTCGTCGTGACGACGCTTCGTTGTCAGCCATTGACGCCAGAGCGGATTTCGCTTCGCCTTCTCTCCCTTCGTTTTTTTATCACTTCAATTACAGCAGCTGCGCCATCCGACCGCAGCGGAAGGAAAAAAAAATGTTGTTAGCTTTTCTCTTGTCAATAAAACGCGTAAGTGCCTTAACTTTCTTACTGTCTATCTGAAAAGGAGTGTTATCGATGTGAAAACCGAGACTATACAGTTTTATCCTTTTATTTGATATATCGTTAATTATCTGCAATTTTGTCTTCGCTCGATGTATTTTTAGCTTCCCGTTCCACTATTTCATCGAGCGCGCTACCCTCGCCACGGGGATGTAAATGTTTAGCTCGCGAGTTTTATCGAAATTAACGAATGACCTCGGCGTCGATCTCCAGCCTCTCGCTGAAATTTCGAATAGACTCGGGCGAGCCTCTCCGCGAGGGGCGACAGTTACATTCTCATCCGGCAGGTAAGAAGGGAAAAGGCAAAAAAAGATCAGCCCACGGTATTCTAAAGCACTCAGCCGCGCGGCGGCGCACAAAAGCGAAATCTCGAGCTCTTGCCCGAACTTCTTTTCCGCGGCGATGTATACGTACATCCTAAGGGGCGTTGCCTGTTTTTCGGCATGTATCACTTGCGTGCGCACGTATGCGCGCGCGCGCGCGTGAAAGCCTCGTCGAGAGTGCACTCGGTGCCGAGCGCGTTGGCTCGTAATGCTTCATTCACACTTTTACGTTGCTGCGCGTTTGCGTTCCTCGCTCATTTATCCACGTGCTTTCGCTCGTCTTGTCCGAGATTCATGAAATAGTCGAATGACAAATGCGTATAGTCCTATTCCGAAAAGTGTTGCCTGGGCTAGATTAACAATCAAATCCGTCTGTCGAGTCTTCAACGTCAAAGAAAGCGATTACCAAAGTTCGAACTCAACTCGTGGCAAACAATCTTACGCGACTGGCTCGGGACGGGGCGTAACAATGAGCCAATCAACGACGGAATCGTCAATGCGACGAGAAGCACCTCTCGGGAGAAGCTCGCGAAGCGATCGGCGCTGCCTATACATCGATGTTTAAATAATCGAAACCGCGCGTGCGGAATTGAGTTTCCGTGATGCACATAGACGGAAAGCGAGAGCGACGAGCTTAGAGGACAGATGTCAATTATTATTGAGCCCCGCGTGGCTCAATTATGCCGTGTGAAGATTATTCAAAACTCGGAGCGCTGAAAGCTTCGCGGATGCGGCGGGCGTGTTTCGTTTACGAGCCTTGCTGCTGTGGTAGGCGTGTAACTAGCTGAAATAAAAAGAAACAAGAAACTCTGTGGCCAACCAGTTTTAGAGGTGTTCTTTTTTGTGCTCGTAAAAAAGGAATCTTTCGCGAAAAATCATGTGAAAGATTTAAATCACTCTTGGCCTGTGATAATAAAAATAAATTGTGTACAGTAATTTAAACAATCTTTAATTATTCAGTTTTGTCAGTTTCAACTCCACGAAATATTTATCTCTTAGCCACAAAGAAACACTTTGTTGGTTTGACTTTTTGGTCCGTAATCAAAGACATTTGCAAGCTTCGAATGATACAAAAAAAACTCAGGCGACAAAGGGGTTAGAATGCAACAGTAGTATGACAAAGGCTGTAGCCTCGCGAAAGCAAAACTGAAGTAGTTTCGCGAAAGCCCTCTCGAAAGTAATGAAGGTTTTTCGGGCTCGTTAGAAAAGTTGAGCGAAGACAGTAGGGGAAGAAGAGAAGAAAAAACGCTGCAAACGAGAGAGAGAAAGTGAGGAGGTTAAGAAAAAAGAGCAAGAGAGAGTTGAGCGTCTCCGAAAGAAAAGAAAAAAAGAGAGACATGGAAGACGAATATGGTACCTATCATTTTAATGACGCTCGTTATAATAAACAAAGCTCTTGAATTGGAGAACGAAATATGCCGTCAAGTCAGCTCACCGTGTTAACGTCGCGCGTAAGTGAAGCGACGGTTGATTTTTACAGATGACCTCGCGGCAGCTCCAGCGTTTATCTTACTTCGCGACGCGTTTACCTCGTCGTTAATGTTCATTAGATGCACTTCTACCTTCGCTGGATCTATTATATTTTTTAACAGAATCCCTTGTAAAACATTCGTAATTATTATTTTTAATTTTACAAAGGTACAAAAAAGTGCCTCTGAAAGTGTTGGTCGTTTTTTTTTTCATTATTTTATGATAACACAATTGCGCATTGAAGCTCGTTGATTGGCAAGTATCCGGATCGCGCCAAAAGCACGCGTTCATCGTTTATTGGCTATTGGAAAGTGACTGGAAACTGCCGTTCAAACTTTCGATAACCATTCATTATAGTACAAAACCCGAGGGAAAGAGAGCAACACTGACCATAATTAAAAATCCAAACGCAGTTATTTTCTCGCAGAAAACTGGGGTGGAGACGCGGAGTCGGTCAGAAATTCGGGGTCGCGGGTCTCCCGAACGGACGTGTTCGCACCTTGGGTAGGTTGCGTGCCAAGCGTGGGTGGGCGTCTCTCTCATCGCTTAAGCATCGATCGGGCTTCGGCATCGGGAAAGAGAGAGAGAGAGAGTGAGAGAGACAGAACAGAACACAGCGGCACATTCAGGTCAAGCGGCGACGCGGATTATTTCCTCGAAATTCCTCGTCGACCTTTCTCTCTCGGCGAGAGCGCGCCAATTACCGGTGACGAATTTTCACTGTCGCTCGTCAGGAGTTGCATCTTTTTAATAAGCTCGTTAACGTGCGTGCTTTTCTCGTTGGACCTGTTTTTTTTTCTTCTGTCCTCGCGCCGTCCGCGGTATCGTGTATGCACCACTGTCGATGCTACTACCTCTACTGATCAACGGATTGACGCGAGAATCGAAAAGAAAAGGAAATGCTTTTTTTCCGAAGACTGATCTTCGTTCGCTGGCTGGTTTGCGCACCGCGTTTGCTCGTCTGCAATTTGCCGATGTTGACGCAGACACGCGAACAAAAGAAAATTAACATCGTAATCATCGCTAAAAGTGAAATTAGCAGTATTTTCACGCAGAGCCTTGGATAGTGAGAAAAGTTTAACGAGTAAACGTTCAATTTGCGGTTCATAAATAATTTGCCGCGGCTTAAAGAAGAACTCTGAAGCAAAAACAAAGAGCGAAGGAAAATGAACGCGGGCACTTTGTAAATCACAAGCCAACATCAACAATTCCGTGACATCTCCATTCAGCTGCTGCAGTGAGCAAAAAAAAACACAGAAAGAGGCGCACGGAAGCCAAGGCGGACTATGAAACTGCGCGCATAATTGGATTCCGGCGATGTTTACCACGAGAGAAGGAGGCTGTACTGCAATTACAAATGCAATTTATGTGAGAGCGAGCTGCGAAAAAGCGACGCCAAGTTCGCCGCCGCCACTGCCGCGCCAAAACTTTTCGAGGCACTTTTTTGTACGTGTGCGTGTGGGTGTATCTATGCGTGCGCGTGTGTGATAGACTTCGTGCAAATATTGGCTTTCTTCGTTTCCTTGTTTTCTTTGCAGGTTGCTCTCTTATTCGAGATCCTGGGCTTCTATCAGCTGTATAATGTTGACATAAGCGTGAAATTTTCTTATGGAGATTTCGAAAATAAGCGAACAGAGCTAGAATTATTATCGCACGCTCGCGGTATGAGAGATTAAATGTTGTAGATTGAATTTGATCTTTTTATGGTGTACGCTCAGTTTAGTAACCTCCATTCATATCGTTTGCAAAATGTAAGTATCCGCTAACCTTCGTCGAAAGATTAAAGAAAAAACATACTTACCGCAAGTAGAATATCTCCGAGTTTAGTCAGCCTATAAACCTCCTGACGATCATCTTTCGATACTTCATCGCTTTTCGATCCCATAGCTTGACTCGATCGATTGGGCGTGTAAAAAAAAAATGCGCGCGAGAGTGGGAATCGTCTAAAAGACTCCTCGTGGTGAAATTTGCGTGACAGCGGTGGCAGCGGCGACGAAAGACGCCACGAACGAGTCATGGCGCGTGAAATTGAATTTCACTCGCATCCCTCTCTTCGCTCGCTTGTCGTCGTGTTGTGTTGCTTCGCGAATGCGTTGTTTCGTAAAAAAGTGCACTTCTTTGTTTTTCGTTTAGGAA